AAGCAATTCCATCTGTTTGTGTGGAAAGTGCTGGTCCTTAGAACACAGGGCAGAGGTCATTCAAGTCAGGTTCCAGTCCTTCCTTGCTGCTTAGTAGAGGCAAAAAGTACCTCCAGGCAGGGAAGCAGAGCCAGTGAGTCGGCACGGTGGAGAGACACCAGTCTGTGACATCACTTGCCTACTACTACTGGGATATCCCATGGTAAGCAAAAGAGTGTACTTGGGGGATGCAGCAACCTCCTTCAAAACAAGGAAGCAACCGTATCATGGGAAAGGTGCCATGTGCATCCAGAAAAGCCCCAGAGAAAAGGAAGACCTACAAGGAATACCTGGTCATTGCAAGAGGCAACCAAGCACAAAGCAGCGGACTGCAGAAAGGGGCTCTGCCAGTCTAACTCAACCTTAGGAGGGTAGGTTCACCAAAGAGCTGGGTGCTAGGGAGGCCAAAGAGTTCAGCCCTCATGGGGATCAGGAACATAAGCCATCAATATGTAAGAAGGAAAATCAAGCACAGAAGTAGCTCTTCCCGTGTTCTCTCCCGTGTTCACCTTCCTTCTCAAAGGTGTGGGGAAAAGAGTAAGGAGTTAAAGAAGCAAGGAGTTTGGATTGTCTTGGCTTCATCAGAGCTAGTGCTGAGGACTAGCTTTTGGCACACCCAGCCATTCACTGCATCCTACATGGAGGGTCCCCTTTCTTTGGGAAGGAAGTTTTCCCACCAACATTAACCAGTGTGCTGCTGTTGGAGAATCAGCCATGCATATGCTTTCTGGGATAGAGGACCATTCTTTATGGAGATTGAGGCCTGGATATGTAGCCTTCTTCCTGTAAGCCACCTTCCCAGTCACAGAAAGTCACAATTTTTTTTCCCTGCCAAGAGATGTAGAACTGGGAGGGATGACAAGTCATCTTCAAACCTGCAGGGTAGAGTATATCCCCTGGGTGTCGGGTTGGGGCGAAGGGAAACAGGTAGAGCAGCCTCCCTCCTTTAGTCCTGATCAAGGTGAAGACACAAGTCCATTAAAACAACGCTTGCTTCCACTCCGACTTCTTTCTCATGGGGAGTATCACACTCTCCATTCCTGTCTTGGAAATAATCATCATGCCAATCTTTACTATAAAGCAGATCCTGGTGCTTCCCGCTGCTATGCTGAGACTCGTAGGGTGACCCCTCTCTAGACCTATATCCTTTCCCAGAGGAGTTCCCCTGCTGGCACCCACACTGTAGGATTCAGCATTGATGTCATGGACACAGTCCTTAAAAGAGTCACAAGATGAAGTCACGCAACACTCACTGTTGATGACCATGTGACTCTGAAAACTGCAATGGCTATGAGCAGTGTCATAATCGTATCTCTGTATTTCCTTGCTCTGGCTCCAGACACCACTTTGGAAACAGCACTGCTGGAAACTGCTCTTTCCACTTCATGATCTCTTCATATCTGGCTTCACTCACTGTAGAGGACAGAGGGCTCAAATCTCAGCTGCAGTAGTGGGGACAGATCTTCATGTACACAGGTGGAGGAGGTCCCACTGTAACATCTGGTACAGGGAAGAAGGCTGGATCTGGTGAAGGCCAGTGGGATGGCCCCAGGGGGAGGTATGGTCAGATGAAGAGGTAATGGAGTAAGAAGTGACATGCAAATGATGGATGCCAGGAGGAGACAGCTAAGTAAGAGAAGGCTCAGTGCAATGCTCGTCATCTGAAGGCCATGAGGTTGTCATTGGGACATCATCATACAGGTCAACCTGGTCAAAGTTACTGAATTTAGGCTCCTGCTCTAGTCCATGCTTTTCTCATTCTTCCAAGTCCTTATGTGCAGCTGTTGGAAGCAACCAGTGCAGAGAACCTGCCTGACAAGTAGAATGGCACTGGTTTAACTCCTCAGGTCCACTCTTTCTGATGTGATTCCAGAAGAGATAGAACCCAGAGAATGGACAAAATAAGACACCACCCATCCCCACCTTAGCACCAGCTGTGATCTTTCCTCCCAGGCCCTCCTGGCCCTGTTGTTGGGGATACACTGGTGGCAGCAAGTTCAGATAAGGCATTAAGTCCACAAACCAGTCTCTTCCCAATATTTTATTACATCATACAAGTTCAGCATCCCTAGTCTGGAAACCTGAAGTTCAAATGCTCCAAAATCAGAAACGTTAAGTACAACATTATGCTCTAAATACTTCAAGATCTGAGAACTTAGAAAGCTGAAATATTTTTGATCCCCAAGCAAGAGACCATCAATGTGTACTAGCCTTCTAGATGTTTCTAAAACTGTTAAAAGACAGAAAAACGTCTGGTAGCTTTTTTTATCATTTCTGTTTTCAAGAGGGAATGGAAATAAACCAAAGCAGATCACCAGGAAAAGATGAATTTCATAGATCTCTGCTCTTTGCAATGATTTACAGAAAGAAACCAATTAAAGCCCAGAGTGAGTTCGAGATTGAATAGTAATTCTCCAGCATGCTAACAAACTTCCTCCAGAGTAACTGAGACCCTGCGCTCCTCTGTCCAGCCTCCCTACCTCCCAGCCCTCCCAACTGGAGAAGCCTTTGTTCATCTGCCTGTGAAGCTGCTCTTTCTTTAAGCCAAAAAGCTTCACCTCTAGCCTATTACTGATGCTTAAGTCCTCATCTCAAGGGTCTGCATTTTATTTTAATTATATACCACCTCTAAGGATGTATATATTCCTAGTCCTTGTTTTTTATTTCTTTTGTTTCACCACTTCTGTCTTTGTGGTTCTTCTAAGTGACCTTGAATTCAATGGTGATTGAGGTTGCCACAAGTAACTAAACAGAACACTCTTATAAGACTCCTTTCTTCTCCTTTTACAAGACACGTGTAAACTTTCTGCTCTAAATATAATATCCTGGGAATCACATACATGTCAAAAGCAAAATATTTCAAATGGAACTTTTCCCTCTCAAACTTACTTTATATTCTTTCCTGGTACTCAACTGTCCAAATTAGAAGCCTTAGCAATACTATCAATATTTGCCTTGCTTGTATCATTCACACCATCACACAATTGTGCCTGCTCACTACATACCCAACTTTGTATTCTACCACCATCATTCCAGCCCTACTTTTTTTTTGTTTTGTTTTTGTCTTTTTGAGACAGGGTTTTCAGGCTAGTCTTGAACTTACTTTGTAGCTTAAGCTAGCCTCAAACTTGCAGCAATCCTCCTGCTTCAGCCTCTCAAGTGCTGGGATTATATGTGTGTGCCACTCTGCCCAGCCCAACCATTCTTTTCTTGAGCTACTCCATCAGCCTGGGTCCCTGTGTACCTGGTCTGTTTCTATAAGGCCACCAAAGTTAATCTTTATGAAACTGACACTGAGAGGCTCTGATAACCTCTCTCTAACACTATGGCACCACCCTCACCCATGCACTAGTCCCCAGCTTACAAATGCTGAACAGCCTCCATCATCTGTAACCCTTTGAGTCCTGATTCAAATTACTCCCTGTGCCTGAAATGTTCCTCACCCTTACATTCTTTTAAATAAATAAATTAATAAAAACTATCCAGCCTCTCATCTGCAGTATGGGGCACTTTGCCTGTAATTCCTATCATACACACAATAACCAATGGCAATCACTCATACACACAATTCTCAACACATCGCAAGCTCCTCAAGGTCAGAAGTTTTTTTATCTCCTATACCTGGCAAAACGCTTAACACACAGCAGGTATTCAATGTTTGTAAAGTAAATTAATGTACAGGCAGATTACCATAGTTTAATACAAAAGCAAAAAAAAAAAATCAAGTACCTTCCTCCTCTAAACAGAAAACTCACATTATGACCTATCCTGAAAAATTAGATGTACCTGATTTTTTTATGAAGCAGAGACAACAAATTAATTCAAAGCCTATATTACAAATTCTACAGCAATAAAAGAGAAGCAAGCATCCTGTGACACTCTCTCTCTCAAGCATGCACGTACACACGTACACACGCACATGCACACACACACATACTCACACACTTGGGAGTTTTATCTACAGATTTTGGCTATACCTCCCTCCTCAGGGCATCACAAAAACTCTAACCTCCAATGCCTTTCCCTGACTTCCCTTATCTGACAGTGGATAATGAGGCCCCATTTCAGGAATCCTGTCCAAAGAGGGAGGAAGGAATGCTGCAGAGAGATTGAGAAGAATCTGAACCCATGAGCTTTGTTAGGTTTCACTGATGTATATTAGCATCTATCTCCATAAAAACCCGAAGGACAGAGTTCAGGGAACTTTCATGCGCTGTCCATGTGGAGGCCTCTAGAAGATGACTCAAAGGAAATGCCAGGCACCCCTATTTTGGGTAGGCATGTCTAAATCAAACTGAATTAGAAGATACCTAGCAGTTACCTGACACAAATTAGTTGCCTGGTTAGTAGTAGGGAAAAAATTCTCACACCTTAACTGAGGTTGTAAAAGTAGAGTAAGAGAAACTAAATCTGAGTTTAAGTTGGTTTTTCCTTTGATGTATACATACTTTTATAACATTTGGGGAGGAGGGTATTTTTTTGAGACAGGGTCTCACTGTGTAATATAGGCTGGCTATGAACTCACTATGAGGCCCAGACTGGCCTCAAACTTGCAGTGATCCTCCTGCCTTAGCCTCCCGAGCACTAGGATTACAGGTGTGCACTACTACACCCAGCAACATTCACTTAGTTAATACCTATTTTTTAATACCTATTTTTTTCAACGTTCACTTAGTTAATACCTATTTTTTTGTAGCATTTTTCTCTGTTTCACAGATGAGCAAAGTGACAGCAAACAGTGTGTGTGACTGACCCACACTTAAGGCCAGTAAGATGTATAGCTAAGTAGATATGGCACTTGCTCCAATATTAAGAATTCATTATAAGTTGCAAATTCTTGCTCTATAACACTTCCCTCTTCTGCAGAGGGGTTAAAATGTCATTTCGATCCCAGGCTTAAAAGTTAAAACTGAAGAAAACTGCAACATCCCCATCTGCCACAGTGCATAGTCACAACTAACCTGTTATCTCTGCACACGGTCACCTTGTCTCCACCAGGAATCAGCTTCTTCTGTTCGATTATGCCATAGCTTTCTCGGCAGATCTACATTTAAGGAAGAACATAAGAAGTTTGAACTTTGTTTATATTGACCTTTCTAGAGGTTTTAGGAGTAAATATACTTAGAAAATTTGGAGAGCAAGAATCAGAGTCAGAAAATACCAGCACCATATTTTAAGGTAGGGAGTTGCCAATGAATGCAGTCAAGAAAAAAATGACATAAATTCTCAAAAGGAAATACTTTGTGCATGTTAGGAGTGAAGAAAATTAATGCTTAGGTAATTTTCTTAATTGTATAATCATTCATTCAACACTTTTATTCAGCTCCTATAACACTCAAGGTATTACAAGTAAAATAATTCACAGAAATCCCTTTGTTGCTTGACTTAGTGAAGAACTAATATTCTTTACTAAGTTCTTATTAGTTCTTAGTGAAGAACTAATGTAATTACGACGTGTAAGAAAGATGACAGATCATCACAGTAATCAGTATGGAGATTCTTACCGTGAAGTTGAGGCAGAAAGTCTCCTCGACGTCTTCTCCAGGATAATCTAAAAGTTCTTGAAGACTCCTAATCATAAAATGACATAAAAGGAAAAGGGACAAATCAAACATGGCACTCACTAGTGCTTCCATTGCAGTTACTGTCTGAATCATTTGCAAGGAAAAACTAAAACATAAGATTCTAGAACAAACATAAATTGAGACTGACAAATCATGTACCTATTTCCTAAACAGAATTGTGAGTAGACTGTACTGTTTTTTCTTTCCTATCGACAAATCATAATAGATATACAGGGAAACTCAGAAGAATTTAATATCTGACACCATTTTGTTTTCTTAAGCCTGGTACTGTATTATTGTACACATACACAAGAGAATATGGTACTGCAGACAGGCTTCACTCATATTACTAAGATAATCTTTCCAGCATTTAAAAAAGCCACAAAATTACTTCATCCACATAGGAATCTTAATTGCATGTTTGGGCTATAATCCCAAAAGACAGAATCCTAAACATAATCATGAATGTTGAAATCCTGAAAGGTCAAAATCTCTAATGTCCAAAATTCCAAAAGTTGTAATTTTTGGAAAAGTAATTTTAAAAATTCTTTAGAGCATGGATGTAGTTCAGCAGAGAAGCACTTGCCTAGCATACAGAGGACTCTGGCTTCAATCCCTAGCACTGAAAAAAAAAAAAAAGTCCTTAAAAAATATTTATTTACACTGTTTAAAAGGGACTTGAGAAGCATAAAAATATTAACAGTCCTTCATAGACCACTTTATACAATAGGCAAATAATACACATATTTTTGCAATTATGAACACTCAAGGATGCAAAAAAGTTATACAAGTATAAGAAACACAGAAAAATCATATTCATTAAAAAATAGGTCAAAAAGTGAAATATCCAAATAGTAAGCTGGTTGGTAACTGTGAGCACCAGCTTCATAATCATGGCCATCTGAAATATGGTGATGGGCAACCTAAGCCTTCCAAACAGCTGGATCAAAATGTATGATGGTGGAACACACCTATAATCCCAGCTATGAGGAAGGCTTTAAGGAGAAGGATCAGAAATTTGAGCCCAGCCACGCCACCTTTGAGACCTTGTCTCAAAACAAAACTTTGGAAAAGGATGAGAATATGGCTCAGGTAGCATGCTTGTCTAGCATGCCCAAAACCCTGGATTCAATCTCCAGGATCACAAAAAACAAAAGAAAAAAAAGTCACAATGGGTCACCATCACATACATAGTTATTCAAAGAAATTTTGTGTTTCACAAATCCAAGTGAACAAAATCCAAGTGAGGAAGTTTCAGTAAATGAAGAGATTATACACAGTAACATGGTAATTCACTTTTACATACCTAAATTTGCAAAACCTACATAAAGTGGAAAAGACTCCTTCAAAGTTCTAACACAATTTTTGTCTCCAATATAGGTAATCGTGCAAAATCTTAAATACCATTTAGTAGTTTGCTTAATAATGAGAAGACTCTGTATGATAGATACCTCACTATCTATATGGCAGACAACTCCAGTGATTTCCCTTGAATGCAAACAATTGCTGCAACTTTGATTATATGGAGACTTATTTTCTTATACTGATATGTAGAGAGCTGGCTTTGGTATTTCCTTCTCTCTTCAATTGGCTCTAAGCAAATAAGCAAATAAGGCTGGTCAAGGTACTGGTATATAATCTCTAAAGCCCACAGACAGTCTCCTGTTTCCTCTCATAGTGTTCTCTGTAAAAGATATGAACATAGCGGGATGTTAGGGCCAAACAGCTCTGGGAATGTCAACTGGGTATGAGTCTCAAGGTAAAGAGGCTATGACTACCCAGGGCACAAGAGTTTATATATCAAAAACCAAAGCAACAGTCTCCTAAAACAATTCAGTTGCTACCTTTGTATTGAATGTGCTGAATTATACAAATTGACCCTTCTGCGTATCTTTATCTCTGCATTTTGCAGAGATGCTTTTCTCCTTACCTGGTTAGCTAGCTCAAGTTACTCATGTAATCCCCAACATCCTCACTGTTACTCATCCCTGAGCCACTCCCCTCCTTCACAAGATAATAAATTCTGGGAGAGGCTTAGGATCAGGGCCTTTGTCTGCACATCCTCACAGGGATTGGATTTAGGGCCCCTTGGCCACCCTTCATTTGGAATGTGTCTTGGTGTTTTTACTCTTGCTGTGGGTTGCATTGGAGGTGGTAGATTGGAATTAACTTGCTGGGATTCCAATAACATCTCAATGGGATTACAAATATAACTTTTTGGATTGTGAGGAAAACTAGAAAGAGGATTACAATACTTAAGTGACTGTACACAATATTTGGGATTACAATAACTATCTGTTACACTAACGAATGGTAAATCACTCTTAAAAGAAGAATGTGTTTATGTTAACAAGATCATATCCCAGCTCTTAAGATAATCCATGTTTGTAACTAGACCTGATTCACACATTCCTCTTTAGTGAGTTCCAGTATTACAATTCCATCAAGAGTTGCCAAGATGAAAATGCCTAGCATGGAACCTGAATCTGCGGTCAGTTAACCAGCCAACATCATTACTTAAAATATATAATTCTCAACCTAACTGCAAAGTCTACAGCACAAACTTTTGTCACTGTCTAGACTTCACTTTCAGTAACTAACACATTAATACTACCTTGTTCTTCTTTGCCATTTTTTAACAGTCCTTCTAAATTTTCTCTTCCTCTCTTGGTGCTCCCACCCTTCCAGTGCTACGCAGTTTCTCGCTACTGGTATCCCACACCAGAGGTGTGAAGGTCTCATTACTAGAAGGTACTACAGGGACTATTCTTCCACTTCTCTCTATAAAGAGGATATTCCTTCTGCTGAAGCTGCCTTTTTATGTACTTCACTAATCTGAGAAACTCAAGCATAAAAGAAATTTGAAGAGCCAGAAAGAGAATTACATAAAACATGACTTTACTACTTCGGAAAATAGTCTGGCAGTTCCTCAAAAGACTAAATATACAATTATCATATAAACCACCAATTTCACTCCTAGTTATGTACCAAGAGTACTGAAAACTTATGTCTACAAAAACACTTGTACAAAAGTGGTCATAGCATTATTCATAATAGATCAAAAATGAAAAAAAATCAAATATTGATGGACAAATAAAATGCTGTATATGTATAAGGGAGTATTATTTGGCAACTTAAAAAATTAAATACTGATGAATGCTACAACATTGACGAATCTTTAAAAAAATGCTAAGCTAAAGCCACCAGACACACAGACAACATATTATATGTTTCCATTCACATGGAATAGGCAAGTTCATAGAAACTAGGTTAGTGATTGTCTAGGGCTGGAGAAGGTAGGAGACTATGGGTTAATAATAAAGGGTTGCCAAAGTATAGCATTTTAAAGAATGATAACAATATTCTAGAAGAGACTGGTTATCACCACCACCTCATACAACTATGGGAATACACTAAAGTCATGAAATTGTGTGCTTTACAAAGGTGCATTGTAAGGTATGTGGACTATCTATCAAGAAACTTTTTGTTTCTTTTCAATATTCTCTGGCCTTGTAATCTCTGGACTATGACAAGTCTCAAACCTTTTATGTTTTGTTGAGGATAAAGAAAGCAGAGAATGCGCTGTATTCCTGGGCAGATACGACTTTTCTTTCCCTTTTTTTGCCCTGTGTCTTTACAGGGACACAGACAGTGCTTCAAGTAATCAGTTGTGTGGCTATGTTTTAAAACAAAGCACATACAACGAAGTCTCCAAGGATTCAATAAAGCCAAAGTTGTGCATATGGTATTTTCAGCCTTAAATCCCAAAGCCAGAGACAATCAGAACAGTCACCCACACCCATCTGTGTATCTTTTAAGCTTTATACCTTCCTTCAGTGGGTGACAGTTCCTTTAAATCTTCCAAGCCAGGTTTTACATTCAGTAACTTCTTGTAGAGAGCCAACGGGAAGTGGAGATCAACCACAGTGGAATTGTAGATTGCCAGTCCACAAGTGATGCCGATCAAATGAAACCAGTTATGCTCCACAAAACACTGTTTAGGATACATATAAATGTGTTAAAGAAATGCAGTGTTTGCAGCACTCAAAGCAATGTACCATTCATCTCAAAATATTTCCAGAATAACACATTAAAAATCACATGCATATGGTGACCTCCTGAGGCAGAGAAACATCCCTGACAAAAATACTCTTATTCCCCAAAAGATGTAAGTGGACCCATGCAATCATTTATGGCCTTCCAGTGATGACAATAGGAACAGCCGACGGGGCTGACCACAGAACTTTCTGCAATGACAGACATAATCTGTTCTGTGCTGCCCCATGTGGTAGCCACTAGTTACACATGTCTCCTGAGCACCTGAAATGTGGCTAAAACAACTGAATAACTGGATCAATATAGTTTAATTTAAAATGTAAATAACCACAGGAGGCTGCTGACTACTTTTATTTTTGAGACATGATTGCACTATGCCTCAGGCTGGCCTTGAACTCACTTTGTAGCCCAGGCTTGCCTCAAACTCACAAAAATCATCCTGCCTCAGCCTCCAGAGTGTTGGGATTATAGATATGTGCCATCATGCCTTGCCTTTTTTTTTAATGTAGAGAAAAAACTTATAGGGGGGAAAAAAGACTTAAGTTGTAAGCTGAATGAATATAGAAGAAAAAACAGTCTTTTAATTTTTAAAAATTAAGTATATATGCCAAGATGTGTTTGACTACTGACTTTCCATATGTTATAAAATCAATTTCTTTATCACCATGATGTTACTTTTACTTTTTGTAGATTTTAAGACCTGGATCACACCTACTAGAAATAGCACAAGCCTGATAAAATTCACTATGAGATCTTGACAACAGGTACAAAATGAAGACCAGTCTTCACTTTATTGCTTAGACATTTTAAATGACCTCTGATATACTCTCCTTTGCAAAGCTAGAAATCAGGAGATTGATCTAACAACAAAAGGAGGTTTAATTCAATCCATTTGTAAATTGTAAAATGACTAACTTACTGTATCTGAAAACCACAAGAGATTTGAATCCTGATAGTAGGTAAACATTCCATAGATGGGATTCAGAAGTTCTTTTAACAGTAAAAGAAAGAATTCCTTTGTGACACCACCAGCATCCACTGCTTCTTCCCCATCGAAAATTACCTTTAAATCACAGTATGAAAACAGAATTAATATTTCCGGAAACTCTAAACTTGCGGGGGCTGCACTACGGACGAAACTCAGGAACTTACATGAGCTAAGCCAGTATTCTACCACTGAACCATATCCTCAGCCCTGTTTAACTCTGATATTTTGAAAAGGGTCTCATTTAGTTATTCAGGCCACATTCCTTCCTCAGCCTCCCAGGAAACTGAAATTATACATGTATGCCACTGAACATGGCTAAATTTTATCCTGTTTTGAAGACCCTTTTCTAAAGCCAAAACAAAGGAGAAAAGACCTAACACAGCATATACACTGATACAATGAAAACTACAAGGTTTATTATTGATTTTGCTGACTGCATAAATGTTTAACAAGATACTTATAGATGTATATAACTTTTACTAGATATTCCAGGGGATACAAAGGAGATCAGAAGTTACCATATATCTACAGAGAATTTACCACCTATTTAAGAGAAGTAAGGTAAATATAAAAGGATTAAAAGAATACATTTAACTTTCAAAGAATAAAGTATACAACAGAGGTAAAGGCTTTGACACAGAGTAAAAAAAATGATGTACTTGAAAATGGGAGCTCTCTTGAAGAAATGACAGAGCTCTTCCAGTCATAGAAGCATGGAAGGCACTTAAGTAGACAGAGACACAGACTCTGCCAGTGGTGCAAACAAGGCAGGCTGGACCCACCGTGGTCATTAAGAGTAACATCTAGAGCAAACCAACCAATGACACTGAGTTTACCATATGTTAACACTTAAAAGCCTGTTAACTTAATCCTCCACAGCAGCCTAAGCACAGGGGTTACCATTATTATCCCCATTTTACAGGTAATGCCTAACCCAGGCCATGGTAAAGACACTAGAGAAAACTTCTTTAAGGCTATGTTCCTGGTTGTCTAAAGCAAGATAGATATTAAGACTTCAGTTACACAGACACCAGCAGAAGATATAATTCAGACACGCTACAATGCATGCACAGCCCTATCTCAATTACTGACTGAAAACAGTGGCAAAAAGAAAAGGAATATTAAAAATATAACTCAAAACTTTTTGAAAGAATAACCACACAGACTAGTGAGGCTCACGCTACTTATTAGAAATTTTAGAAAGGACTAACAACATTATGAAAATAATCATTCAATTTCCTACCTATTTCTGAAACCAGTATTTACAAAAGGAATGGAAATAAAGATATAAAAAATGTACAACTTTAAACAACTTCAAATAATTTACTAAATATTTCTAGAACCCCTACTGTGTACCAAGCATGCCACCAAGCCCGAGGTACAGGAAGTACTAATACAAACTTGTGGTCTATGGGAAGAGACAGTATTTTAATAATTTCAGGTTGCTAAACTGCATTTCCTAACAGACTGACAGCCTCACTGGCAATCTCTTAACTTTTTTATTCTCTTATTTTACCCACTTTCTTCTTAAAAATCTCTGACATCCAAAAAACTTCCTACACAATAGTTCAAGACCTACACCCAGGTAAAGCTTCACTTCTGGTTGTTTGCTTATTTTGGTGGGGCTAAAGAAGGTATACCAACGACATCAGAGGAAGTCACAGAAGGGCCTGTGATCCCTCAGATAATCCACTAGCACTTTTATCTTTCATGTGATGCTGCCCTGAGATGCTCAGTGATTTTACAAAAGAAAGTGATTCTTATAAAATACATGACAGAAATTATGAATGCTGTATTTCACAATTTTAATAAGATCTTTGCTGCCTGCACTGTTTAATGAAAACCTCCAAAGGCATTTAGAAGTATACAATGAAGAAGCTCACTTTGAGAGGCTTTTTCAAATCAATGTCAGAATGAATGCTCAGCTCTCTTAGCGCATCTCCAACAAGGTTGCTCCTGCGAACGTGAAGGACGAGGAAGGGGCTTCTGGCCAGCAGAGGCTCCAAGGTGAGAAGCATGAAAACATTCTGCAGGTTGGCTCCATTGACTGCTACCTGGAATGGCACAGCCACAGCACAGTTACTCAAAGTACCCTGGAGGACAGAGGAGCAGCCTGGGAACCACACGGGGCTGACTGCACTCACTTTCAATCTGCCCTTTTACCCCTTAAGGTTTTCAAGTTACATGTCCTTCACAGCACAGATCTTTTAATCTGGTCTCCAAAAGACTGAGAACAGTTTATGATTCTATAGCCAGATCCAGAAAAATGATTCTGACTAGCTGATTAAGTCCAAAATAAAAATGTACTTGAAATAAAAACCATGATTTTCAAAATGGCAGATAAGAAAACCTAACAAAAACTTGTTAAAAAGGTGTTCACTTTGTGAAAAGTATCCATTTCTCTGGAAGACCTTTGAATTGTCAATACCATGGGTACATTTGTGAAAACAAAAATACAGAGCCAGAACTAGAGAGACACAAAAAGGCAGATATAGAAAGAGACTGCTGAATGGAAGTATATGTATCTACCAATAGTAGAAATTGATAGATTTAGATTGCTAATTCAAAAGTGCCTCTGTAGGCTTGCTGTAATCGATCTTTCCATTCAATTAAGATGATAAAGATCCATTTAATTATCTCTCTTTACATCCAGGTTCGGCAAACTCTGGCCCCATGTATCAAATCTATCATGCTGCCTGCCTTGCAGGGCGAGTACGTGTGTACTGCGGATGAGCCCATAGTAGGCAAGCGCTCTACCATTGAACTGTATTTCTGGCCTACTCTTTTTAATTTTCAAATTACTTAAGTTTACACACATCTTTTCATCTGATCTCTGAAACACAGATTAACTGAAACAATTTATGAATCATAACATTTATGCTCATATTCAGGAAAGTGATGTAGGCCACCTGAATTGCCCAGTTTGGCTTCTGAAAAGTATGCTTCTCCCACCTCAGCCTTCCAAGTTTCTAGAATTACTGGCATAAACCACCATATCCAGCTTTTAAACAGTTTCTGAGGTAACTGTGAGTTTTACATGTTTAAGTGGTAGAAGCAAATGAAGACTATTTCCCAACTGAAAACTGTATAAAATTCAAATTTTGATGTACATAAAATTTATTCAAATACTACTACTTACTCATTTATGTATAATCATTTCTTATTTTAAGGACAGATCACAGTGTCCACAAAGCTTGAAATATTAACTATAAGACCATTACCAAAAATATTTGCTACTCCCAGCCTACATAAATGTTCATTTACATGTATGTATTATACTACTTAAAAAATTTAGAAGTTCTAGGAGTTATAATGAAATTCACTAAGATACCTTGTCTCCTGCCAGGCAAAATTATAACTGAGTGTCTAAGAATGCAAAAACACAGCAAAAAGAGAGTATTTTTATACCTGCATCTGTAGTTCAGCATCCGTCTGTAACATTTTGGTCTTGGCTTGGGCATCAAAGATGAAAGGGTAGGAACAAAGTGTTACAGCATCCTAGCATAAAATAAATTATTGGCAGTATTACCGTATTCTACAAAGAGTACTGTTGGAAAATAGGTAAGTAAATTTAAAAATTATCATTTACCTGTATTATAGATGGTCTAGCCTTCTGTATAAAGAAAAAGAAAAAGTCTTAGTTCAACTGAAAAACCTAAATTTTTAACTCCCAAAATGTAAAATATAAACAATATATTTAGAGCATCTGACTATTCAGCCATGAAGCTAACATCACTTAAGTAGCTGACTAGGTTCTAATTTGAGAGCGTAGACTGGGCGGGGAGGGATTTAAAAAAAATTTTTTTTTAAACTTTAAAGACAATTCACTAATCTCGTAATTCACAGCATTAACAGAATTCTCTTTACAAGAAACCTAATTCAAAATAGAAGCTAAACAACCTGGACTTAATAAGTTAATGTTATTGGGGTAAAATGGTGAGTACTCCTTATCTAAAATACCTGGAACCAAAGATGTTACGGATTTTTTCAGATTCTGAAACACTTGCACATGTATATAATGAAAAATTCTGGAGATAAGACCCAAATCTAAACAGGAAATTACATACTTTCTCCACAGAGCTGATGGAGATTTGCTACAAAATTTCAAGGTGTAAAATCTCCCACCTGTGACATTATCTCAACACTGAAAGTGTCAGATTTTGGAGCACCTGGGTTTCAGTTTTAGGATACTCTATTTGTAATTAAAGTTAATTTTCTGGGTTATCCATGCTTCATGCTACTTCATACACACTTAGGAGGAACCAAGTACACAGAAGGATATCTGGTACGCTGCCTCTGACTCAGCATTCAGGCCAATAGTTGCCAATGAAAACACCCCATCGATGCTTGAATCTACCAATAAATTTCTGAGAAAAGAACTGGGATCAGCCATGAAAAAGTATATCTTTCATGTATGGCACAAGAAGAAAAGGAAATCTCTTCTGAAAATGTGTTTAAGTTATGTAACAAACATCATTAATTTAATAGAATCCAAAAAAAAAAAAAATCAACCAAATAGATCATGGTGATCTACAGGAATATTTCTCAAACAAAAAACCATGAATTTATTCTCAGAAACTTGAGAATACTCTATGGCTTTTAAAATGATCTTGTGAACAAAATAAAAACACAATCTGAGTAAGCTCTTCAGAATAGTATATAACCACAAGATTTACATTTACTACAATGATTGTACTGGAACCATATGAACCCTGACTCGTTCAGGGGTAATGAGAAAAGAGGAAAGCAGCCTTGCCAGGTATATGCAGTTTTACCATGGAGAAGGCCAACGCAGTTCTGGCTTGTTGCATGAATGAAGCTTAGAGCAGATGAAAGGAAGAAAGAGAGCTGAGTCACCCAGGGAGACAGGCAGTGAACTTGGAATGTAAGAGCTCTGAGTTGATAGCTGGAGGTTCCCACACACAAGGCAAATGGGATTTAGTTTCAGATTGCAGGTTTGCTCATCACATTAAGTCTGTGAAGCTAAGATACATTTTATTGGTTTTGCTCATGTTTTATTTGTAAATTTGATTTGGTTTTATAATTAAATACTATGAATAAAAAATATACGCTTCCTTTTATATTTATGCATATTTACATAAAATCACTTAAAGATAATTTTAATTAAAATCCACCCTGTACAACCTTAAGAACTAGATTCCTTTAGGGGATTCTGCAATGTTTCTTGAGATGGAGAAATAATCTTTAGAGAGACAAGTCCAGTCTAGTTAGACCAGAAAGCATGCCTATACAATCCAGGCGAATTTGGCTCATTCCTACGCCTACAAACCTAGTTAGTCTGAGTTTAAGAATGAAATCACTTCAAGACAACAATTATCATACTATACCATAGCACTAGGTAAAATTCAGTTTTCTGCTAGTCTCATACCTCCATATCTAATTACTCTGAATTTAAGAATCTAAATTCCTTCAAAGTTAAGTTTTCTTCTAGTCTAGGTACCTACAAAAGATAAGAGCATTCTCAAAAAATGAGCAGAAAACTGGGGGCAGGCAGGTGGCAGGACTTTAAAGTAGAAGCCTGAGCATAAAAGAGCAGGCAGTGTGGGAAGGCAAATCAGGCTGTTAAGAAAACTAGAAAGCTGCCGTCATCCTCAAGAAAAGAAAGTGGGATGGGTGGGCAAAAAGGATGAGCCCAGTGCAAGCCATGATGGAGACTGATCTGACCAAGAACTGACCCTAGACTTGCAAACACATCCACACAGCAAACGCTACCCAGTGCGGGAGACCTCAACCTTCCTATAAAGTGCGTAACAACATTCCAGGGACACTCCATGAAAATAAAACGATACCTTTGCTGAGGCTGCTCTGTCCATGGAGCAGTCAGCTTTACTGTCTTTTTCCTGGTGCTGTTCACTCTATCTATGGAGCAGCCTGCTTGGCCAAACTGAGCTACTTGGCCCAGAGAGCCTGCCTACTTTGGTTGGAGTGTGTGTGTATGTTCACCCACAGGTGCGTAATACTGGTGACTGAACCTAGGGTCTTCACACTGAGCAACATTCCCTGCCCTGTTCATATTTTGAGATAGGGTCTCCCTAAGTCACTAATTTGCCTGGATTTGGGTTAGCACTAGCAATTTTCCTATCTCAGCCTCCTACAGGACTGGCGTTACAGACATCACCACCATGCCAGCTCTACTCTGCTTAACGTTATAACTCACTCTGCTACAAGGCAGTTTGCTGTATTTTTCTATAATAAATCTTCACTTTGATTTAACTGTTACTAGTCTATGCATTCTTTCCACTTTACATGAGACAGCTACTATTCTAGCTGCTAACACTAGTATTGACATTTAGAATGTTTTCCTCACAGATTTGTTTAAGCATTGTTTGTTTACTCACAAGAGAAAAGAAAGCACTTGAAATATATGTTTACAGTCAGCAGGGGAAGATAACAAGAAGTCACCAAGAAGCAAGCTCTCCCTGTCAATCAGTGCTGCGCATGGGCTGCTGGGAAGACAGTCAGACCCCAGCCCCTTCTGGTGCACAGGCTGGGAAATAAGAAGAGCCACCCTTGGCCCTGAATCAAGACCGGCAGCTTCCTGATGCTGTGGGTTTCAAGCAGGAGCCTAAAGATATATCTTTCTATGGTCTGCTGGCCATTTCAGAACTTGGGCAGTGAAATGGTCAATTCATTAGAAAGAAACAGTTTGAAACAACCACTCCCACCCTGGTGAGCCACTGTGAGTGTGACAGGCTGTGGCAGCCCAGAATGGAAGCCACCTGTGCCATGCCGGAACCTGGAGCTCCAGGAAACCAAGCAACCCCTTCCCGCCCTGGTGAGCAGCTGTGAGCATGGCAGGCAACCTCAGCCCAGGACCAGAGCCTCTAGTGTGTAACTGCGCCATGCTGAGACCTGGAGCGCTGGGAAACCAAGCAACACATGCGGGCTGAGAATCAAACATCACACACACACAGCCCACCCCCACCTCCATTAGCAAGTGGGAGCCAGTGATCTAGACATCCCTTGAGAGACTGACCATAGGTAATGTAGCAAATAGGGATGATTTCCTTTTACCACCTCTTTGAAGGCAAATACTTTTATCCCTGTTTTGCTTTGTTCTAACGAATGGTGTTATTTTAGCCTATTTTGTTTGTTGAACTTCAATATACATAAAAGTATGGACAGCTATTTTGAAGAGAAGGAGAGATTCTATGACAGCCATTAGTGACTTCCCTGTTGTCTGGTTTTGAAGACCTAAAATGCCTTCCTCATTCTGTTCGGATCAGTTTTATGCTATGTTGTTTTGTATGAATTCTCTAAATGCAAAGACATGGACAACTATTTGGAAGAAAACAAGAGACAATATGATAGTGACGATCTCAGGTCATCTAGCTTTGAAATTTGTATCTCTTACATTGCTTTCTTATGTCCTATTTTGTTCTGTTTTATTGTGTTTAATTTTACCCCCTTTAAAGTGAAAAAAAAAAAAAAAGAGCACCCCTCCACCCCCATCACTGTAAGTGACCAGCTGTCCACAGAAACACACGCTGCGATGACAGCTGTTGTGGCGAAATGAATTTGATGCTTATAGTGTTTGCTATTTCACTGACCTTGTAGGTCTAGGGCCAGTGGTCTAATTTATCTAGTCAGAGGATAGTGGTATGCAGTGTGGCATCTAGGGGAGAGCTGCTGCTGAGGATGGCAGTCATTGTTAATTCCCTATTATCTTGTTTTGAAGTTCTGTAGCATTTTCATCATTTTGTTGGGTTGGGTTTTATTCTGTTTGTTTTGTCTGATTTTGTTATATCCGATGGCATGGGCAGCTATTTCAAAGATAAGATGTATTATGGTACCCATTTTGGATTTACTATTGTCTTGTTTTAAAGTCCCTTATTGCATTCATTGTTTTGTTTTTATTGGCTCTATTCTGTTCTTTTTTGTTTGATTTTTATGATGCCAGAAGGTATCTGCAACAATTTTAAAGACAATAAGAGGCATTATGGTAACCACTGTTGATTTTGTATTGTTTGAAAATCCTGTGCCACTTACACTTGTTCATTTTGATTGGCTTTACTGTCTTATTTTGCTTGGTTTTACTTATTCTCCTTAAAATAAAAATAAATAAATAAAGCAAGGAAGGAAACAAGCTGAACACTTTGAATGTAAAAAGTGATAATAAAATTCATTAACACCTGGACATATCCACATATATATTCCTTAAATAATAAACTATTTCTATTGTTTTTCTAGAACCCACTCAAGGACAGTTTGAAACCAGATGTTCCAGAATAGACAGGCAAAAAGCAGCTGGCTCATCCAGTCAAGGACATTTGACACCACAAGCTAAAAATCTTCCATGCCAAAAACAACTCCCCTAGAAAAGAAATTTTGACCTGTGAAAGAGGCATGATCGTCTGCATAAGAGCCCTGGAAGTTTCCTTCTTCCCACCCAATCAATAAGCTGCTTCTCCCCAGCTCCCCTCCTACAGATTCCCACTACCAAGAGAACTGGGAAGATTCAAGCTCACAGCTTCTGTGTCTCTGACAACAAAACTCATGCTTTTTTGCTTCTATGAGCATCAGGCAATGACCCCTTGCTGAGTATCAAGAATGGTGGCTAAAAAAACAGTGGTAGCATGGCAGTGTCCTAGTGCCCAGCACTTTAAAGCACTCGTATTCTGGATGGTGTCCTATGACTCTTCAGTCAACAGCAGGAGCTTCCTCTGTAACTCTGAGCTCTTTGCATACTGTGCTCTCTCCCCCTACCCTCTGACATCCACCTTCTGTAGCTTCCAGTCTCCTCAGCTGACTTCCCCACACCCCAGAAGCTAACAGCCCAGCACTATCATCCTCTGGATGAGTAATTTGGATAGAAAGAAATCTCAGTGGCCTTGGTGAGGAGTCAAGAGACATGTTCCCCATAGTTGGCCTGAAAACCATGGGGCAGCCACCGAGACAGATAATGAAGCCTTAGAAAACCAAGGTGCCAGCCCTCAGGAAGGTCAAGGAGGACTGAGGACTCAGTGAAAAGCAGGTGCAGAACTAGACACAGCTATATATTTTGTTTGTATTGGTCTGTTTTCCTCAGTGTTAAAGATTAAACCCAGGGATGGTCTACCATTGAGTTATATCAATCAAAAGCCCTTTTTCCTTTCTGAAACAGAGTCTTGCTAAATTTCCCAAGCTGGTCTCAAACATCAGATTCCCCTGCCTCAGTCTCCCAAGTAGCTGAGGTTGTAAGTGTATGGCACCATGCTGGACTCATAAATTTTTATAAAGCTGAGTTCTGTATTTGAAATATAATATGCTGGGTTTTATTTTGTATGTTGAGTATTTTAGATACCGCTTCTAATACTGGCATTCCTGTATCATACGAAATAAGTTTCGGTAATTTTTCTGCCACTATTGTTGTTTCTAGTCTAGAAAGATGCATTCAGACTGATCAGGAAAGTGTGCTTTTCTTGAAAGGCTCTATCATGGGATATCCACACAACAGCCTCCGCCATGGGTCCCACACACTTAGAACTAAGGAAGTATTGGTGAGCCACACTTCAAAGGTGCCTGATTCAAACAGGGTTGCACTGTGACCGAAATTCACCTTTTACAGAATATAAAATGGAAGCAAAGAATTGTACAAAACCAAATAACTAGAAATACCTTTTTTAAAAAATACCAATTAAATATTTTCTAAAATGGGCTGTGGCAGGCAGGAGACATTTGTATGAACACCTGCAATGCTGAGGAGGAAATGCAGACCCCTCTGCTCTGGGTCTGTGTTGTCTCACACACGCACTACACAGGCCCCCAAGCAGGAATACTGCCCCTCCAACACACATGAGAAGGCCAGCTTGCTCCCTCAAGTGGCTGGTTCTGCAGGACTCCTATGCATGACTGAACGCTTCCCTCGTGCTGCCCTCTACAGGAGCCTGCAAAGACGCTCACTCCATGTGCTGCTGTTTGATTTTGAAAAAAAAGATGATGGCAGATTATTAAATGAAGCAAACTACTAGAAGCTATTCTTAAAACGAGCAAAACTCAGGCATATCCTACTGTAATCTCTTTTCATTGCAGCCTCTGCACTGAATCCAACACTCAGAAAAGGTGGAACCATTTCCAGGTGTTGTCTCTAGGCCAAGTGACTCACTCAGGAGTGTGACATACATTAGATGCTGCAGAACTGCTTAATGGAAAATGGTTACTGAGGGCTCATTATTCCCCCGGCTGCGCACTCTGCTAAGATCCTCCCATGCACTCTCCCATTTAATCCTCACAATAGTGTTGTAGCTCAAATCCACAGCTGGAAGGCCTTCGGAAATGAGAGAACTTATCTGAGGCTACAGCAAGCAGAGAAGAGTTAAGAATCACATCCCACTCTTCTTAATCGAAGCACACGCACCACACTAGACCCTGTAATGCCTCAGCTGCAGCCAGCTTTAAAAAAAAAAAATTCAACATACCAAAAAACTAGCAGCGTTTTTATTTTAAAATAGTTGAAATTAAAAAGTCTATATGGAATGATGTAGCATTTTAAGCAAAAATCCAAGACATCAAGCAATTTGAACTTTGATTTCTAATTGCCTCACGCCCAATACAATAGAAAAAATTGCACAGAAATCACAAAAGGATATACATTAATTTTCTACATAGCTTATTCAATGTTAAGAGAAAAGAACCCAAAAAAGAAGATAAATCTGCGGGGCTGGGGATTTAGCTCAGCGGCATAAGCGCCTGCCTTGCAAGCAGGCAGTCGTGAGTTCGATCCCCGGTACCGATAAAAAAGAAAAAGACAAAAAAAAAAAAAGAAGATAAATCTGCTCATCAGGTACCTCCACTTGGAGACCAGAATCATCTAGATTAAATCTAGATTTTAACATGAGCAATTTCTTTGTTAGAGTCAAAAAGAAATTTTAGCAAACTATTGTTTTCAGTTACAGAATGAATAGAAGAACTGGCTTTTGCACCTAACTTGTAAAAAACTTGTTTAACTTCTCTGGGCCTCCATTTCCTAACTTAGAAATAAAACACTTGGCCTATATAATTCATAGGCTTACTTCAACACTGAACATTTTATCATTCAAAGAAAACTGTTGGCTAAAACAAAAAGCTTGCCTTTTTATAACTTCTAAATTCAGTGATAGCCAACTTCCTTGGTAGCCCTCCTGTTAAAACTGCCCATACTACCCCAGTAAAAACACCTTATGCATAGTGCAAACTACTTTGCTTCTTCAGAGTAAACAAAGCCTTACTAAAATACTGTGCCAATTTTAAATGTTTCTATAGAAAAAGACACAACTTTGCATGCAGTACCCATCATCTATTATTTGACAAAAGAGCACAATCTTGCCTGTTTAATTAAATAAGTCTATTTAAATGCCTTGCTGATCTTCAAAAAACCTGCAAAGAAAAACATCACCCTATTACTGGTGATGAATCTGCTAATGTGGCAAAAGTCTCACCTCAGATGTTTCTCCTGCACATAGCTTCATTAGCTGCAGTAACCAAGTTACTCTGCTTTCTGACATAACTCAAATTTACATCCATGCCACTAAGCAGGGATTCCAAAGAGACAAGCATATATATATATATATATATATATATATATATATATATATATATATAAAAGCCAGTGTGCAATCAAACTGAGCAGACTGCAGAGTCCTGAGCATGCCAGGGTGGCAGGCAGGCGTCTGCAGTCCCTTGAACAGTAGAGCTAACATATGGTGAATCTAGGAAGGAGTGTGTAACATTTTCCTGTCAACAGCCCTAAAATCAGAAGTGGCCAACAGAACTAGGCAACTGACATAAAATGCCTAAAGTAGGCTTGCTGTGAGAAGTCAATAATAAGCAATGACTTTCTCCTTCATGCCAGGACTACACTGGTCTGTTTTGGGGATGGTGGCCACAATAAGCCTCATCTGAAAGGCCAGTACTGAACTCCAGCCAGCTGGTGCCATCTGGGAAGACAATTTGTATTGGCAGATTTTCCAAGTCTCAAGAAAAGCTGGAAATTCATGTTTTCATATGTTCTATCTTTTTTAATTTGATAAAAATGAGGTAACAAATTTATACCTTCATCACCTTTAAATGTATAGTTTTAATAGAAGTATACTTCCAGTGTTGTACCAAGGCTCTTCAGTAACTTTTCTTTTAAAAACTAAAACTGTATGTCCATTACATAACAATTACCATTTATCCCTCCCAACCATTATTCTCCTTCTGTTTCTATGGATTTTTAGAGTACTTTAGACATATTCATTCCTGCTTGTTTTTTATGTGGTGCTAGGAACTGACTGCAGAACTTTGGGCCCTGCACATCCTAAGTGCCCATTTTACCACTGTTACATTATGACCAAAGACACTTTGATTCTTTCTACTGTTGCCAACTTAAACAGTGTGTAGCATTCTGGATGACTATTCACTTGTAACTCCTTATGACATTTATGATTACCTAAAGTACATCCAAGCTCCAAGACTGCAAAAGCCAGCTGCGTGGAGGACAGGTGTGACACTAACATCAAAGTCAAAGAGAAACTGCACAGCTCAGAGGTGTTTTCCTTGCCTGTCTTATACTTTGAAAAAAAAAAAAAAAAAAAAAAGACTAAATCTTTAAGATAAGCCTTACATGAATCCTTACCGTCCCTGCTTGATGCAAGAACCACATGAGGTAGTCTTCCTGAATATCCACAAGACTAGAGATCTCAGGAATGTAAAATGTATCATATTCCACATGCTTCACTTTAAGATTTACCTGACAAAAAGCAAAATGAGGATAACTAAATACAGAGAATGGAAAAATGGCTTCTTAGAGAACATCTCAGCAGGACATTTCACCCTACCATCTATTCACACCAGTGCCTCCTGTGCTCACCTTATATAACTTCTCCAAAAGCTTGAGAGCTGCTGTAATGTAATTATTAAACAGTACAGGTATTAAGAATGTCTTTCTTCCCCTCAGTAGATAAAGGACTGCACCTTTATAGAGGTTTACCAGCTTCATGAAATATTTGGGGCATACCTGAGACCACCAGTTATCTTAAGAAAGAAAGAAAAGATATATTTCAATACATAATCATCAACAAATACGTATGCTTCTGCCTGCTAGCTAAAAACTTCTCTAAGGCCCGACTATAAACATTATTCTAAAATACAGTGTCCCCAAACTGCCTTTTAAAAGAATCTATTAAAATATTGCTGTATAAATTTTTGTAGCAGTTATACAAGAATCCATGGGGTTGTTTTGTTTTGTCTTGTCTTGGCAAAAGCATCTGAATTTTTTCAATTCATTCAGAAGATTAATCTAAAAGTTAATTCCCAGGCTGAATGAAGACAAAATACATATATTTTGGACATGAGGGATATCCCACTGGACTGCTCCAAACAGTGCTCACACGTCCTGGTTATTTCAGCACTGTTCACAGCCACTATTTATACCCTGCATCAAGGATGTGAACAATAACAGGCCTACAAGTGTCACCAACATGGAAACCATTTCTTTTTCTTCTTCCTTTTTTTTTTTTTTTCCACATCAGGAATCAAACTCAGGACCTCACACTTGCCAGGCAGGTATTACACCACTGAGCTAAATCCCCAGGCCCTGGAAACTACTTCTTTCTTTTAAGAAGCATAATTACTTGAGAGACTACTACTTTTATTATTCTTCAAACAATGCTTTCTCTTAACCAAACAAGATTATACCATTGATTTATACGTTGTAAGAAATTCCATCAAAAAAAGCAACAGGGGAGGATAAAATAAAAAAGACAAAATACTCACAATTATTATATATGTCTGCTGGACATCTATCATATTTTCTTAGAGAAATCTTTTGAATGAATACTTGGAAGTTAAGAATAAGTTTATCATTTTGTTTTTGTTTTGTTTTGTTTGTACCAGGGACTGAACTCACGACCTAGCTTTTGCAGGCAGATGCTTATGCCGCTGAGCAAAATCCCGGCCCTTAAGAGAAAGTTTACTTTTTGTGTGTCATCAGATCTGGAAAAGTAAACTTTAAAATCCCAAAAGTTAAAATCTGATACTATTTTTTCAAATTGTTATCTATCTCACAACTGTTAAAACACCTTAGAAAAATGTGCCTCATATGGCTTTATATTTTTAAAAACTAATTACTAATATATTACTGTTTTTGTTATTATTTCTGCTTTCGTGTTTTGTGCAAAATAGAAAAACCAAAAGTAGGCCTCATCAATCAAGGGGAGACCATGCTTAAGTAACAGCTCAGTCCATCTGAACACAGAAGTTATACTGAGTTGCAACAAACACCTAAAAAAAATTACCAGAAGGGTAAATATAAAAAGCCAGGTAACAGACTTCCTGCACTTGATTAATAAAACACCTTGAGTGCTATTCCAAGAGAGACACTCTCCGATTCACTGAGGTTCTCCTCTTACGGAGTGTCCAGAGCCTGAAAAAATCAGTGTGGACTTAACTGCCCTAAAAAAAAACAAACACTTGGTAAGTCCCAACTAGGTAGGTCATTTCCTGCCTCTCCTTTCCTGGATACCTCAGTTTCATCAAATGTATCTGATTCACTCCCTCCCCCAAAATAGATACTGATGAACAAGAGATAGATGGGCACTACCTTATGAGACAGTATTAACTATGAGCAAATGTGGAAGGGAAGAAAATACACTGAATGATCTGACTTTGTGATATTTCAAAATTAAGATGAATCTGGCATCAATTATTTCAAATAATCTAATTGTTCGATTTTGCTAAAATTACAAATAGGATTAGCCAGAAATTAACAGTAAAGAAAAGTTTAAATTTTACACTTTTATCAGCAACAAATAGAAGTAGGATCTAAATCCACTGAGAAGCAAAGGTCACACCAACAAAATAAATAAGCACAGAATCACTTGAGTGATTTTAGCACATTCACCTAATACTTTACTAGGGTTTGTATCCAGTCGCAGAATGGCCATGGCCAAGGGAATAGTCAGTGTTATGTAATACTTGGAATCCTGGAGCAGGGGAAACTCAGGTAATATTAAATAGATTCTCATTGCTTCAACATCTGGAGGTGAACTTGACAACTGTGGAATTAGGCAACTTTCAAAGCTGTTTAAGATCTGTATGAAAGAAAAGAGTAATGAAAAATTCAAACAGGCCTGAGATTTGCTTAATTTATCTCTAAATTCACAAGCTATTTGATTGATTTACTCTGATTCCTACATTATATACAGATAAACTACTATGACCCAGGCACTGGTCAAGGCTCTCAGAACAGATCAGGAGAAGAAAACCTGAAGGCGTCTACCCATAAAGATCTTACATTCTTCAGAAAGATTAAACCAAAGAGAAATGCAAAGAAGGCCAAATTTCCAAAATGAGTTACTAAGTTAAACACAGTACAGGACTTGTCTTTTCACCTTTTTTCCTCTTAAAAGCTGAATTTCTCTATGTATCATGAACACATAGACTAGTACAAAACTGGGGAAGGAATTATTCAATGTAGAAATGCATCTCCAAAAATGTACTTTATAAATGTAGTAAAAAACATACCTGTTCTAAAATCATGGAGTGCTGAGAGTTCATTAACTTCTCAAATAACACCCTAGTTGAGTTCAAGTCAATTCCTGGGATTTTGGGACTTGTTTTAAAATGTTCATCAATTCTAAACAAACAAAACAGCATTGAAGAAAAGAAAAACAAAGCAAGCACTAGGAGAGAAACTACAAATAAAGAAAGTGTGTCTATGCTGATCAGTTTTAAATTTGACCTGGCAGACAAGACCCATCACACTCCAAGAAGCCTATGGAGTCAACCTCCCAGGCATCTCTTTCCAAAAGATGATTTTAAATTTTGAAAATTTTCAACCTTTATACTTTTCAAAGATTTTTACTTTTAAACTATTGAAGTTTATAGTTAATGTTATTTCCCTGATTTACTTCTGCAGATCTTTATTTGTTTTGCCCTTTTCTGCAACTATACACTTAAGCTGTGATACTATGCAGATGCTATGGCTAGGTATTAAAAAAAAAAAAATCACCTGTGCAAACTGGCCAGTTCATCAGCAAATGGCAGATAGAACTTCTCTGAGTCTCCCTTAACCAAGTACTTAAAATAAAAATCAGATCTACAACAACTGAAATATCTCTTAGTTAACACATGGAATTCAATTACATTCACCAAAGGACTAATTTCACAGCAAGGACTAATTTTACTCCCTAATGAAAAGAAGTCATTTCTCCAACTTTAAATACTCGTAGTCTTTCAGAGACGTAAGAGAATCTCTCATAAACTCTCTCTTTTGAATACTCCACATCTATTACTTTACAAAAGAGCTGTCAACTTGCAAAATATACTTCTGTTTATGAGTAATCGACATATCCAAATGGTCTTAACATCCTCTAACAGAAATGTTACAATTTTTAAAAATACAGGTAGAATTTATAACATGTAAAAAATATTTTTATATGTATTGGAACACAAATGGTCAAATGAAGAGCGATGTTTTTCTTTGCTGGATTTTGTTGTTGTTGTTGTCCTAAAAATAAATGTGCCTAAACATTAATTATGCTTTCCATATAATGAGATATACTTTATACTTCTGCTATTTTTTAAAAAAACTATTTTCTGTACATATACATAGGTTTGTAAAAGTGGTCTTCATTCTGGTTAGTTTCCTGGGAGGCATCATGTATACACTGGTTTCCTGTAATAGCACAACTGTCAAGGAAGTGCGGGGGTGCAGATGATGGTGTACAACTGTAATGCCCACACTCTGGTATGATCATGATTCCAATCCCAGCTTGGGCAACTTAATGCCTTAGTAAGAGCCTATCTCAAAGTTTAAAAAAATTTTAAAAGGTCTTGGAGGTAACTCAGGGTAAAGGACCAAAACTAAACCTAAATACTAACAATAACCAAAAAAAGAAAAAGAAGAAGAAAGAAAAAAGAATAGAAAAAATCTTTACCTACAACTGCATGGAATTCATGGTAATAAGGATGAGTAACAAACAAGCCAAGAGCAATTCCCAACCTACATAAAAGATATAAAAGCTATCCTTTTAGAAGAGATTTTCTTAACCTTGCTGCTTTTAACATTTTTTTTTCCTTTTTCCTTTTAATTGGTACCGGGGATGCACTCAAGACTGTCTGCTTGCAAGGCAGGAGCTTATGCCACTGAGCTAAATCCCCAGCCCCACTGCTGTTAACTTTTGGGGACACTTTTACATTGGACAGATAAGACTGTAGGATGTTTACAGAATCCCTAGCTTATCTCAGATGCAAGTGAATGCATCTCCCCATTCCATTAACTTAACCACATAAAATGTCAGCAGACATTGCCAAATACTCCCTGGGGAAAAATAGCAATATCCCCTGAGCAAGAACTGCTCTTCTAAAAGATCAGCATCAACATAATTTAGAGTATCTTTTCCTGTAGGAAAAGGCCAATTACCAAGTATGAAATAAACCTAGTGATCTCATGCCAGTTTCCCTAATAATACAAATAAATGACTTTATAATCTCTCACTGTAAATGAGGAGAGTGAGGACAGTCTCTGAAGTGACCTCTTGCAACCCAGTTAGGAACATGTTTTGGGACAGAAGGGACCTGAGGATTAATTTTAAGTGTCAACTCAACTGGATACAGGATACTCTGATAGCTGGAAAAGCACTATTTCTGGATTTATTTGTAAGAGCATTTCTGGAAGAAGACTGACATCTAAATCAGTGGACTGATTTGGAAGGTCCATCCTCAGGCCTTTCATGTTTTATCAGCCTAAATGTTTTACCAGCAGTTTCCTGGTTTGAAGGCCTTGCACTGAGCCACACTACTAGCTTCCTTAGTTTAGATCACTGAAGGCTTTTTGGAGGCCTCCCAAGGCTCCATAATTATTTAAAACATATCTCCTCGAATCCATTCATCCTATGTTCTGCTCCTTTGAAGAACCCTGGCCACTCTATGTGTTCAAGGGTAGGGATGGGGTTCACACATAGAACTTAGGTCTAAATTGTTGCTATTGTTTGGATCTTGAATGTTCCCCAGAGGCCCATATGTCAATGGTACCCGCCTATGGCACTACTAAAAAATAGCAGAACCTTTAGGGGATATGGTCCAGTAACTGAAAATGACCTTATAAGGGAAATATCCTTGAAGGTGATATTAGGACCCCAGCCCCTCTTCTTTTGCTTCCTGGAGACCATAATGTGAGCAGCTTCCCCTGCTGTGCATCAATATTGCCACACTCTCCTATCGTATCATCACACACTCAAAATCAATGTAGCAAACCAACTATGAACTAAAACCACATGCCAAAATAAATCTCCCCCCTTATAGGTTGACTGTCTCTAAAGTATATTTTATAGTAACAGAAAGCTAACACATCTGTCCTGAGACCTCATTATTCTGGTCACAAATAAAAAACACTGAGGGATGATCAGGACTTGGAATCACCAAAGACCCAAATCCACACCAAAGCCCTTAAGGTGCATCAGGTTCCAGAGGTGAAGCTGGCTAAAGGGACAAGGCCCAGCAAATGACACCTATCCACTGCCTGCCAGTTCCTCCAAATTACAGCTTCCAGATAAGCTGGGTTGGCCCCAAGTCCACGGATTCCCTGAAACCTCTCTAGAATTTGTCCCTCAATCCGCTCCTTTTGAGATAGAAAAAACTATGGAGAAGCACATCAAAGAGATCAATGAGACTATTTAAAGAATTAAGAATTTAACAACAAATAAACTAGGTATAGTGATGCACACCCGTAATCCCAGCTACTTGGGAGGTTGAAGTAAGATGACTGAAAATTTGAAGTCAGCACAGGCAACTTAATGAGACTCTGGCTCAAAAATTAAAAAGCAAGGAAGGGGAGAGACATAGCTCAGTGATACAGTGGCCTGGGTTTAAAACAAACAAACCAAAAACGTACATATGATATGGGTAACATCTTATAACACGCTGAAATTCTGACTTTGAATTACACTACTTCTTCCTGAAACACAGTTGTACTCTTTGGTAGGTACTGTGTCTCTTTGGCAACCAAGCATGAATCAGTATTGGCCTTCCTGACATCCTTTCATTCATTGTTAGGCTTCCAACTTTTGTGAAAATTTCAACTTATTCACTGAATTAAGGCCAAAAAAACATTAAAAAGAACAGAAGTCTTTCACAGCCTTTGGTGACTAAGTATTTATCTAACATGTGAGTTTTTAACACTATAAATTACTTACTTTTTTTCAAGAAAACTTCCATTCCAACAGGCTGCAGAAGATAATATCTGAACGACACCACTACTCACAGAAAGAAAGAAGCTTTTAGTAACAACAAAAAAATTTAAACATCAATATTCAATTAATTATATATTCAATCTTTTAATCCAAAAAAGTTTTATCAGGAGTAGCTAATTCTTACCCAAACAAAGCCTATTGAGGTTTAGATCTAAAATGTCCCCCAAAGTTGCATGCCCTCATAGGCAGCTGATGTGCTGCTAGGAGGCAGGGTCTGGTCAGAAAAGGTCACCACGGGAGTGGCTTCCCAGTGTCTGTCACCCTTTCCAGCTCCCTCCTCTGATCTCCGTGGGGCTGGCCAGAGGTAGGCTATGCAATTCTGCCTTGGAGTACACCAAAGATGCACTGAAATCTCTTAAACTGTGAGCCAAAATAAACCTTTCTTCCTTTTAAATTATGGGTGTTGGGCATTGTGTCTCAGCCAGTGATGAGACAGTGATGGACACAATGCCTGGCTTGGGAAATTTACATACACTTTAGAGAAACTGTGTGTCACACCTCAAAATGGATAAAAACTTAATTTTTCCATTATTTTTTAAAAGCAAATGATGAAAGCTCTTAAAAGAATGTTTAACCCTGAAGATAATCCTGAGTTCTCCTAGTATCAAGTATCTACAACACTCCCTACCTCACCTTCAAACACACTAACACAAAAAAGTTGGGCTACTATTTCCACAGAGATTATTTTTGCAAATTAACAACTAATCTGCCACTTCCTTCTACTTTGCTGCCCATCTGAGAAAAAAACTAAAAATTAGCTAACTGTTTTTCTATTACCTAGATTATATAGGCTCTGAGAAGTTTCTGTGACACTGAATGTGAACTGAACAGTTTCTAGTGAGACTGTATGTCAGGGAATTTGGCTCCTCTCATTTACTATAAAGAGAAGGGAAGGAATAAAACAAATACGCAGCTGGAAAGAATATGCAGTAACTTCTGTGAATCATCAAATATGGGTCAGGAAAGATCTTTAGAGATCACCACTTCTGTCCCTTCATTTTATAAATAGGAAAGCAGAGCTATGAGGATGGACAGTGTCTTTAGCTCCCCCAGTGACAACCAGCCTGCCTTCACATGCCTTCTGACCTTAACTCCTCAGCAAAGCCCACAGAGGCTACACAGATCCTCAGAGCTGCTGGACAGCTGCTCTAGGAAATTCCCCTAACACCTCACTCAGAAGGTGACTCGCAGGGGACTCCGAAGTCAGAGTCCTGCTCATCTTCCCCAGTGCAATCTAGATCATAAAGCGAGATCAATTATACAATTCTCTCGGGACGACCACCCTCAGTCACACAGCTTGATCTCCTCAGTCTAAAATTTAGACTCTTTAGAAAAACAGGAAATTCTGAGGAAATGCAATGAAGATATATAAATATAGCCAGAAAAAAATGCTTTAACAATGAAATAAACCTGAGGAAGGTCTCGATATTTTTTAGTATTTGTGCTGCTCAATATTTTCTAGCATATGTGCAAGCATAAACTATAGTAATTTTAACTATACTTTTTTCCCTATATGACAACCTCCATTTATCTTTAGGAATGGAAAAATGTTGAAGGTTATTTAGATTAGGGAAGATGAAAGCTGTCTTAGATTCAGGGTGCTCTGGAACATGAATGTGAGGGACCCTGCTGCTGTTACAGAATTTAATACTGGGCTCTCCTAGCACAAAGGGCAACTCTGGCCTTCCTCAGCTGGGATTTCAAAGACCTGACACTGACAGGCAGGCTGAGGAGTGTGAGAGAACTGGGAGTGATCCACTGTGTACAGGGAGAAAATAGGACCAAATCCTGTGCAAATGTACAAATAGACTGCCTAAATGTAAAGCTCCATTCACATCCACAATCTCAACATGGATATCGGGAAAACCACTAAACTAGAAAGTGCCTACGTACTTTAGAAAAAAGTAAAGACAAGCAACTACATACTTGATTGTATTTGCATTGTTGTGTTCTGAGAGTTTCTGTCTCCAAATTGCTATGGTTTCATCATTTATTAAGCTGGTATAATGTGCTTGGTTCACGGTCCTGAAGTCAACAGCAGGAGAAGAATTCTAGAAAATTAAGTATAACAATAAAAGAAAAAGAAATTAGAGGGACTGAGGCAGAAGGCTCCCAAGTTTCAGGCACCCTGGATTGTACAGCAAGACCCTGTGTGGGGGAAAAGTTGTTATACAGAATGGAGCATTTCTCTTCCTCCTTACGTGTCCTCTACTCTATATCCATGACTGTGGCCCTGACGCCCCCTCTAAAATGGGGGCACCAACTTCCCCCGCTACTGACAACTCACCCTTGCCCTGCTCTTCAGACCTGCTTGTAGCAACTACTCTGGCCCCACTGTACGTGCTGGCACAGTTAGGTGTGGCGCAGAAGCCCATCTCCTGCCCCAACCATGGGACTCAGTGAGGGACAGGCAGTGACTGATGTTTAACTTCTCTCCCTGCCCAGCACAGCCTCCTGCGCCTTTGAGCAGATGCTGTGCGACAGTGAGTGAACCTTTAAGAACCCTGAACACAAAAGTCTGCCTACCCAGGGAAAGAAAACAAAAACAAAAACAAAAACAAAAAAATCAAGCCAGGCAGACTTTTGTGTTCAGGGTTCTTAAAGGTTTAAGAACTACTATCTTAGAAGCCTTAGTGTTATGAGGAAAGACATCTCTTTCCTCATAACACTAAGGCTTCTAAGATAGTAGAAGATAGTAAGAAAGACATCTCTTTCCTCATAACACTAAGGCTTCTAAGATAGTAGTTCTTTTCCATAATTGTTTACCAGACTTCCAACAAAATGGATTATTAAAAAACTCACTGAAGTCACAATTTTCTAGGAAATAATATGTATACACGTGTGTGTGTGTGTGTGTGTATAAAATTATTTTTTGAGACAAAGTTTTACTACACAGTTCAAGCTGTCCTTGAGCTCACTTTGTAGCCCAGGTTGGTCTTAAACTTGTAATGTCCTCCTGCCTCAGCCTCCCAAGTGCTGGGATTTCAGGCATGCACTATCAAGTACGTAATAAATTAAAATTTAATGCCTCATAATTTCTTCCAAATACATACCTATAAATTTGTAAGGAAAGTGACAAAAAGATATCAACAAGGGTCTTGAAGATTCTTATCACTGCTCAAACTGTCCACCTTTATGCAGTAAGATTTTCTACTGCTAGTTTTCAACCTAACTCCAAATTCTTCCTGCTCTAGAACTAAAAAAAAAAAAAAAAAAAAAAAAAAACCTCATAGTGCTCCACACCTCCTACACTTGGTACTAACAAAAAGGCATGGAGTAACATTAAAGCATTCATCCATCAGTTCATAGGATGATCTTTTCTCTCCTTTGTACTTCTACATAAAACAACTGTCAAGGCCAGTCATAATGGTGTACACCTATAATCCCAGCACTCAGGAGCCTAAAGTAGAAGGATCCCCACGAATACCAAGTCAACCTGGGCTACATACACAGTGAGTGTAGCTGACATGTCGTTAGGAGGCTTAAGGCTGGCCTGAACTACACAGCAAGACCCTATCCCAAAAAACACCCCCCCACACACCGCAATGTAACTTTCAAAAGTAAATACTCCTGGTTACTTTTTTATAATTGTTAGTTTAGATGCCCCTACTAAGAATACACTAGAGATGTGTGTCGAAATATCTGATCATTTGGTTCTTGATAACAACTATTCTACTAACATGATCAGACATACACTGAGAGAACAAAAATACTCTTGAATTACATACCACAAACTCTTAAGCCAAAGTGGACACTTGATCAATTCCAGTTCTAAAACTATTACTGTTGTGCATATTTTAATTTTCTCTAATCAAAAGGATGACTGAACATTCGCAATACAAACTTACAAAGTGAATAAGACTTACAACTATTTTCTCATTCTTCATTATCTGTTCAAGAAGCCATAGATACCTTGGGTCCTTGCGAGGCAAATACTCTGCAACTAAGCCACCCTTCCAGCCTTCTATGACTTCTAATTACACACAGTTAAAAAGAAAGGAAAATGTTCTAGATAAGTGTTTCTCAGTGTTGGCTGGGCTGTGTACCACCAGGGAGCTTTAAAAATGTTCCAATAGTCAAATCACACTCTAGATCCATTAAAATGAAAATCTCCAGAAGTTTCTGTAGTTTTTAAAGTTGCCCAGGTGATAACCAGGGACAACTAAGATTTACAGAAAAAGATCAAGTCAGCTAGCAGGTTTTGAGGTCAGGACAGACATACACATTCCTGACAATTCTAGTATACTCTCTCTTCAACGCTATCAAGAGAACAAGACAAATGGGAAAGGAGAGGCTATAGATTACACTAAGTTGCCAAATCCTGGACTCAAACATATCAAAGGAGTATCTGAATACAGATTGGGCATCCTTAATTCAAAAACCTAAACTAAAAAGACTTCAAAATCTAAAACTTGGTGAGTATCAACATGATGCTGCACTTGGAAAATTTCATATCCAAATTTATTAACATTATTATATAAAATTACTTTCAGGCAAACTATATAGGTATACATGAAATATAAATGAATTCTACATTTAGACTTCAGTCTTATCCTCAAGATATCTCATTATGAATATGCAAGTATTCCAAAACTGCACAAATCTGCAATTTGAAACACTTATTTTCTGCTCCCAAGCATTTTGGATAAGAACACTCCTGTTACCTCTGTGTGTCTGTGGAGAGAGGATTCACTGGGGATGGACCACAGTGAGTGATGAGTCATACCCCCAGCTCTTTTTATTTTGAAACAGGGTTTTGCTGATCTCCAATTTGTGATTCTCCTGACTCAGCCTTCTGAATAGCTGGGATTATAGCTGAGTGCCAGTGGACCCAGCTGGTAATTCTTCTGCCTTGAGGGCAACATGAGTAAATGAATGAGTCAGTGTTGTACAAAAACAGAGGCTGTAGCTACATGGATGGATGCTTTTCCTTCGTCTTTAAGTGATACGATGACACAGCAAGAATATAATGTTCTCAGTCTCTGTATCTAAATAAACACCTATGTTTAACAGTTTAAGTAAATGTATATACGTTTCATTGTTAAAAAGAGCAATACCTTTGTAAGCAATAGTCCATTTTTTTATCTTAAATGTTTAATGCACACCTCTCTTACCAATTGTCTCAATTTCACTTCCTTTTCATCAGTGAGTTGCCTTCCATACTCAACAATGTCAGTAAATGTAAAATTCAGCTATACATATTAGACTACTTATAAAAGGAATGGCCAGCCATAGTGACACACACCTGTACTCCCAGCACCTGGAAGGCTGAAGCAGAAGGAGAACAAGTTTAAGGCCAGTCTGGGCTACATAGTGTCTCAAAAAACCAAAGGAAGCATAACAAAACTAAGTTTTATATTCATGAACAAACCAAAATAGGTTATTATTCAAGTCAATTTCTTAGGGAAATGAATACTTAAAACTCTACTACTTATGAACAAAAAAGTTACTGCAGAGCCACTGTGGTTTCTATATTTTGCTTAACTGGCATTTTGAAGAAAGAAAAAATAAGCTCAGCTTTCCTCAAGATTTCTCTGGGAAGCTATGAAGCTGAGCCTCAAATAAGCCTCAAGTAGCAACCCACAGTACGCCAGATGGCAGCACTCAACAGCCTTCTTCAGTCTCCTGACCTGGAAAAAAAGAGATCGCTGTCAGCCTCAGCTGGCCACGGGCTGCAGCCTGAGGCTTCACCAGTACCTTCCCTGCACAAATCAGAATTGTAATGGCTAAAGGACAAGAATTTTGTACATTTATAGATGCCAACATACAAACACCAGACAGAGTTTCCAAGACTGAAAAGGCCCTTGTTTCCTCATTTGCTCATTTTCTTCCCAACCAACTTGGATTCTTTTATCACTAAGGCTCCCCTTCCATGTCCTACATGGTTCATCCTCCTGGGATGCTTATGAAAGTAGGAGGAAGGGCACAGAGGAAACAAGCACAGGACAAACTCATACAGCCCTTTTTAGACTGAGACCTGGTGGATGGGAAGAGTGGAATGGCAGTGTTATCACAGCTTCTTGGAGTCACATGAGACTCACCTGAAACCCACCACTCTTCCTGGCTCATCTACCACTCTTCCTTACAGAGACACAGCAGGGAGACCTAAGCATGGGGTAGTAAGCAGATTATAAAGAATAACAAGGCAGGGAGTAGCTCAGCTGCACAGTGCCAGCCTGGCAAGCACAAGGTCCTGAGCTCAATTCTCAGTACCCCACCAATAACAAATATCTATAAATTCTGACATGTCTGTTACACACACTACACAATCAAATAAAGACATCCAATATACTAAGTCCTAAAATACCTAGAATATGTTGTTGCTTAACAGCAAAGGAAAGAAATTAAGTCAAGGGGCTGGGTATTTAGCTCAGTGGCATAAGCGCCTGCCTTGCAAGCAGGCAGTCATGACTTCGATCACTGGTACCAATAAAAAAAAAAAGAAACAAAGTCAAGTAATGTCAAAGCACAAACTCTCTAGGCTGCCTGACACTTCTTTTAGAACAAACATGGATATAAGTATTTAAATTATAAATCAGAATGTTATGATTTTAGTAACAGGACAACTACTGCAACTTCAAAGGAGCCAAAGAGAGATAACAGAATACTTCAAGGTTTAGTTTGCTTGTTTTAATAAGACAAAATTGGTAGAAACAAAGTAACAATGCCTTTGTGTAATTATTTATTAAACAATTACAGATTCACCAGTATTGCACCCCAAAGTAATAGTCAAAAGAAAATTTTACCTCATATTTTGAGCAAAGTACAAAAGTTTGGTCTCCTCCAGAGAAGATCTGCTTAACAATATGATATTTAAAGCGATCTGTCAAAAAAAAAAATTCCAACAACACATTTTTCAGTAATTGGAGTTTCTCCTTGATCTCTTTTTCTGATACTCTGAGACATGCTTCAGAGTGGTTTGTTACCCACTTTACTTATGTCAGAGAAACAAGTTTCTCTCCTGGCTCCTTGCCAAGAACAACTACTACTTCAATTGAAAATAAACATATAAATGCTATTAATACTTTTAAGAAAAAAGATACCAAAATAAATTATACCTTATTATGGTCAAAACATTAATAGCAAAGTGGAAGTGACACAGTGTAAGCAATAAGAAAAAGGCTTGAATTAGGCTGACCTGGATTTGAATCTTGCCTCCAGAATCTTTATGGGCAAGTTACTTACTTACCAGGAAGACTCATTCCCTTATAAACCACAGTAATTATTTTGGCTTAAGTGCTTCACATCATAACAGAACTTAGCTACCCATTCAATAAATGTCAACTATCATTATTAGCAACAACATAAAATTTATATACTACCATCAACACCCGTGGTGCTAACATTTTATGCTTTACCTCTTTAGGATCTCAACCACAGGGTTTCAGACATAGTAAACACTCAAATATTTGCTGATTTCTCTTGTAAAAAAAAAAAAAATTCATATTAATTCCTTCCAAGACTTCAAAATCAATGTGTTCCTCACCTAAAATATCATTAAATGTCAGTGAAAATCACCCTTACCAGCTCGTGCCGAAAGCTGGCCACTGTGTGCCGCCCAATAACCCTTCACAGGAGATGGGCACTTAACGTTGCAAGTGTGTCCAGTTCCTAGTTGACCACGAGCTCCACAACCGAATGCATAGATGAGTCCAGAAGAAGGCACAAAGGCTAGGGTGTGCTGTCTGTGAGGGAATAAATGAAGGCACTAGTATGCTTTCTATGAATGAGGTTGCACACAACGATGCTCTGATTTCTACTTCACTTCGTTCCTTACCCATGTATGCCCTGTCCCCTTGTTGCTCTGCTCATCTAAAACCCTTCCCTACTAAATCCTACTAAGATCTGACTTCCTCCAATTTTACCACAAATACATATGCTGTTAGGAGTTCTCAAAACGACAGTGGTTAGAGGTATTCTTGTTCTCTGTCACTATCACAGCAAGTCATGCCTAGGTTCCAGGAGCACTCACCTGCCACAGGCGATCTGAGTCACTTCACTGCCCATCAGCTCTAGCACTCTTCTTGGATTAACCTCATCATTCATGGAATCATGCCCCAGCTGCCCACAGGAACCAGCACCGAAGGTAAACACACCTCCACTCTGACAAGAAACGAATGCCATGACTTCAGTGCCTGAGTCTGAGGGCACCCCTCTGAAACCTGTCTACACAATTTCCATCACTCACCTGATGCTCAACTAAAATCATTTTGCATTCAATAAATTTAAAAAAATATAAAAGGGAAATTGTTATCAAATAAAGGTAGCATTAAGGAAAATGTGGGCCCCCTATAAAATTTAAAAATTATTAAAAGTACAAGAGTCATTAGGAAAAAGTAAAAAGGAGAAACAATAAGTGAAATGAGATAATTTTGCATGGTTATTTACACATAAAAACTTAAATGCTTTGCAAGCCCCATCATAAGATTTTTTAAAACTGTATTTGAAGCCTGGTGCATGGTACATGCTTATAATCCTAGCACTTATGAGGCTGAGGCAGGAAGACAGCATCATATTTGAGGAGGTGGCTGGACTACATAGTGAATCTGAGACCAGCCTGAACTACTTGGTGAAACTGTCTCAAAAAAGAGCTATATTTTAACAAATGCTAAGGCATTTTACTAAAGTAATATATATAACAATATTTACTCAATTTGAAACAATTTCATTATAGAATATAATTGTATTAGAAACAAAACAAAGGTTGATAATTTTAAAAATTAATTAAATTGCGATCTTTTTTTTTTGTCTTTTTCATTTTTATCGGTACCAGGGATTGAACTCACGACCGCCTGCTTGTAAGGCAAGTGCTTATGCCACTGAGCTAAATCCCCAGCCCGAAATTGCTATCTTTTATATTTGCAAATGGCATTTGTTAAAAGGACACAGCATATTATTTTATATACATTTTTATTTATATTGAACTATTTAAATAAAACACACATATAATCTTTAAAAAAGCACTCTATTGGGAAAACAAACTAATGCTGAAAGGAACTTTCAGGTTTAAATCACAATACTATAAACACCACCACTACTCTAATCAACTCTAATCACCATCTCATACCCTGCTCTACCACAGTTCTCTGTGCTTCTTACCTTCGTGAGGACTGCTGTGTGCTCCTCTCCACAACTAATGTATACAACCTTCTGTGTTCGTAAGAGTTTCACATGGCATGGAGACTCTCGATCTGGAAGATAAATTAAGCATTAGAATGTAACTGGTCATGGGGGTAAAACATACTCAGCTATCTTAGGGTGAATCTGAGGCCCTCTGGCTCTAACCTCTACCTGGACGGCCAGCACACCTCAACGGGCCTGCAGACTAACTCATGGCTCCCACAGTGTAACTCTGCACACCTCCCAGATCACCCCAATTCCATTCCCTGGCATAGCAACATTACCCTTTGAGCTTTTCCTCATTCCAAACCACACATCCAATGAGGAACAAACCAACTGGCCTCATCTTCAAACAGTAAAAACTCTTGACTTCACCCCCACTACCTCCAAACTGGTCTATCCCTTAACCCACAATAGCTGTAGTCAAACTGGACCACTCTTCTCAGAACAATTAATGGCTGAGGGTCTAGCTCTGGGGAAGACCATTTCTTGGCAAGCATGAGGCACTAGGTTTAATCCTCGACACGAGAAGAGAGCAAAGCACTTCGTATCTTCTTCTCTCAAAAAGATAAGCCAAAATCCTCACCCCACTGCACAGGGCCTTCAAGTAGCACCTCTGACCACCAGCTCTACCCACCTCCTCTTCTTGGCCCATTTCCAACATACATCATGTAAGACCTGTTGTAAGTATAAGGCTTGACTTGTAAGTATAAGACTTTCCCAGTGCCCAAGCTGTCTACCAGCACTGTTCTCAGCTCAGCACTGTTCCCTTGGCAAACATAGGATGTTGTAAAAGAGACAATGGAGCACAGAATGTTACAAGCAATAAAACACCTGAAGATACCCAAACATTTACTCCAGACGTCTCAAGGACTTTGCCCACTGATGCATGAGACATCCAGAAAACTCTAACCATTCATGTTTACTAAGATCTTCCCACCTAAAGTCCCGTGTGTTCTTTCAAGCTCCATAAAAAAATTTTTTTCTTAAAGGCCTGCTTTTCTTTGATCCCTGCAGATACCCTTTTCATCCTCTGTCTGCCTGCATCCAGGCACAATAAATTCCACGCCATGTTGTTTTACACAAGCTTGGCAGTCTCATCTGGTCTCTGCTTCATGCCATTCCTTATAGCAAGTCCTGTTGTCTCTGGATGGAACATTTTTCACCTAGATAGCTACATCCCTTACCTCCTATAAGGCTCTGTTCAAACATGTCTTTGTGGAAGAGATCTTCCTGAACACCTTATATAAAGCAGAAAGCTTGCTATCAAACTCTGACACAGATATTTATTGGTTTGTGTCTACCCACTATAGATTTCTCTCTTCACAATGCAAGGCCAGCACACAGCAGATCCTCATGAAGCATGTATTAATCAAATGAATGTGCTTTTGAATGGAAGAGGTACATATTAAAGGTTTACCTACCTTTTTCATCACTGAGCCCTAGTTGCCCTGCATTATTCATTCCCCAGCCAAAAACAGCTCCTGAGAGAGACAGGGCAAAGCTGTGAGCGCCTCCTGCAGCCACCTGAGCCAGCGGGATCCCCTCCAGGGACCTCACCCTCTGAGGGCTGGTTTGAGAGGGGAACTCCTTTCCTAGGCCCAGTTGCCCATGGCTGTTTTTTCCCCAAGTGAAGAATTGGCCATCTAAAATAAGAACAAGCAAACTGATATTACCAAAACAAAACAACAACAAAAATTCCATACGGAAAATAATCCAGTTGTTAAAGTCATTTGGTAGTGGTCCTTACATATAACAGCACAGGAAAAAAGACACTGCATGCTTTAAGATGACAAAACCAAAATTCCCACTTGATACCACAACAATTAAATAAACTGAGTTAAAGCAACTGAGTTATACTACCCTTCAAACACTATTAACACTTCTGCAAAGAATATATTAAAGGTTTAAATAAGTTCAACTTGGAACAGGACAATTACCAGGATTAGGTCTACTAAGCAAGCTGAACTTAGTTCTGGCCACCCTGAGACCACAAGACCCAGAACTTCAGGAGTCCAGCTACGACCACCCAGGCTCCTCTGCAGATGACTAAGCAGATATGTAAGTACAAATATACTGCAAAGGGAATGATTTTATTTGATTCTCTGACTCCTAGTGGAATGGAGCTCAAGAATAGGTAACAAAAATAAACAAAATACCTCACTATATGCTCAAGAACACCTTCTATTCTTATGCAGCCACTCATTTCATTATTCACACCCTAAAGAAAGAATACACTAGACAAAAGGCTAAGCACTGTCACTGCTCAACAACATAGAAAGCCTTACCAGCTAAGGTTTTGACTTAGTTGATACATAACCTAAGGAGAGAAACATTTTCAAAATTAACATAGCATTAACATATGCTTAGTGTATTACCAGTTGCAAGAGCCAAGCAATGCCAGTTGCCACAGGAAACTTGCAATATAGTCTGCTGGTTCAGCTTTTGTATCAACCTAAAACAGGAAAGGTTTTTTTAAGCTAGTCTTTTCATATGAAAACATAATCATCAGAAATATCCTGGATTAAATATATATTTGTAATAAATTATATCATTTTGCCAAGAGACTTCAAAAAGCCAAACGTACAACCTTTTTTTTTTCCTTTTCTGTCTTTTTTTTTTGGTACCAGGGATTGAACTCATGACCTTGCACTTGCCAGGTAGGAGCTTAGGCCACTGAGCTAAATCCTCAGTCAAATGTACTAATCTTACATAGCTCTATTACTCTTTTACTAGCCTCCTGCTTGTTAGGTAAGTATTGTTTAAAAAAGGGGGGGGGGGCTAGAGATGTAGCTTCATGGTAGAGCACTTGCCTAGCGCTGGGTCTGAGCTCCAGCACAAACAAACTACCACACTCAGACCCTTAGATTCATTTCTACAATTCTGTTACTTCCCACCCTGACATCTCCAAATCAGAGTGTATGGTGGAGGGCAGGCATGCAAAACAACTCCTAAAATGCCTGGAATCTGAGAGACTGTCTTTTTGCAGGGGTGAGGTGATGAGGTGATGACAGGGTGACTTGCTTATTCCTTGCTTATAAGGACCAAGGTAGAATTAAAGAATTAAGACTTTTAGCCCCATCACTCCCAGCCTCCAGGGAGGTGAGGAAAAAGCAGAAGTTAAACTGATCATTGATGGTGAAGAAAGTAATTGGTCATGTACATGCAGTAAGTATCTATAAAAACCTACTAAGGCAGGTTCTAGACAGATGAACACCGCAAGGGTCCAGCAGGGTAACGAGTTCATAAGGACATGGAAGTTCCACACCCTTCTCTCATACACCAAATCTTAAGCAACTCTCAGCTGTATAAGCTGTATAACAAATGAGTAAAGGTTCCCTGAGTTTGATGAGTCACTCAAGCAAACAGAGTGGACCCAATGAATTAGTTATGGGAACTACAAATTAGAGTTGGCCATTCAGAAGCACAGGTAAAACAACCTGGGGCTTGCAACTGGCATCAAAGTTGGAAGGACACTCTTGGGGACTGAGCCCTTAACCTGTGGGGTTCAACCAATAGACAGACGGCTAATGAGGCTACAGAATTGTTTGCTTACTGGTGCAGAAAATGCCCTACATATTTTAGGAAAAAGGATACTGTTTTCCTAGGCATACAGAGAGACAAATGGAATAAGCTTCAGAAGAGATCCCTAAGAATATGACGAGTGTGCAAACAGCTTTATGAGCCAGCAAAATGGTTTTCCTGGGTACATATTCAAAAGACAAAAGAAAAATCCCACATACTATCTGTATGACCATATTCAGAGCAGCACCTGTAAGAGCCAAGAGGCAGAAGTGAGCCAAGTGACTGTCCAGGATGAACAGCTAACTGAAATGGGGTACAGGCATAAGCCACTTTATTGTATGTTACTCTACTGGCCTCCTGGTATGGAGCTCTTCACAAATTGAAGGTCTGCCACAACCCTGTATCTAGCAAGTCTATTAGTGCTATTTTTCCAATGGTTCAGTGATCATTTTTAGCAATAAAGTGTTTTTAAATTAAGGTACATAAACTTTCTTCGACATAATGTACTACAGTACAGTGTAAATATAACCTTCCTAAGTTCTAGAAAAATAGAATGTGTGACTCACTTTATTGTGATATGGTTTATTGTAGTGGTCTGAAGCCAAATCTGTACTATTGCCAAGATACACCATAAAAATGCAATATAAATCAACTCAAAAAAGAAGAAAGCAGGCACAGTGGCACATACTTGTATTCCTAACAATTTAGGAGGCTGAGGAAGAAGGATCTTAAGAGTGTGCTCAGATTGGAGAACTGAGCAGATCCTGTCTCAAAAATAAAAAATAAAAACGGACCTGGGGTTATACCCAGTACAAAAGTCCTGGATTCACTCTCAGTAGGGGAAGGGGATTCTGACATGTTTGAAGGATAACCTTGGAGGACACTATTCAAAAGTGAAATATGCCAGCCATACAAAGACAATACTGTATGATTCTATCAACAGGCTGGCCCTCAGGGTCCCTGAGGCTGAAAATAAACCTATCCCACCCTACAAGATAAGTCTGTAGATTCACTGCATTTCCTTACAGAAAAAGAATTTTTAGGACATGAGAAGCATTTATTAGACAGATACAGGACACAGTCAAGAGTGGAGGATGGTGCTTGCTTCAGCAGCACATACACTAAAATTGGAATGATACAGAGAAGATTAGCATGGCCCTGATCAAGGATGACTCGCAAATTGGTGAAGCATTCCACATTTTTTTTAAAAAAAAGGGTGGAAAATCGGTGCTCAGAAGGAGAAATGAGACATATTACAAGAGTTGGATATATTTAAGGGAAATTTTCAAGGGGTGATCTATGAGGTATATTTCTATAGTCTATTAGGTTACAATGCAAACCATCTATTGGGATTTGAAGTTGAGATCTGCTACCAACCAATACTGCTGCTTCCTTGGGGTTGGAGGAAGCACAATTTATGGTGAAAAGACAGATCCAGAGAATGTATTTATAGGTTGGTTATTTTAAAGATCTCTAGGAAATATTCTTTAGTCACAATTACCTTTTCTCCTTTTTACCACATGAAGTACCTAATCACATTCATACAATAGATTTTTACAAGATAAAAAAGACTGAACACCACTTACACAGCAATGTGAATATACTTGATACTACTGAACCACATACTTGAAAATGGCTAAGATGGTAAGTTTTGTGCTATATATATTTTGTCATGGTTTAAAACAACCTATTAGCAATGCCTCCAAAACTCTAAAACTCTCTTCAATGGTAAAGAAGAGAATCATAACTGTAATTTCTCGTCTAATCATATTCCTTTGCTGGCTCAAGTGAAAAAGAGAGACAAGAATAACAGTTACTTCACAGGATTATGGAGAGAATTAAATGAAACATTCTATGCAAATTCTGGGTATGCTTAGCCCTACCTGGCAGTTATGTAGCATGGTAATATCTCCTACTCTCAATGTTTTTTTCCTACTCTCGATTTTAACAGCTGACAGGTTTACATGTTTATCAGTTCTGTCACAGGAACTAAGAAATAAGAAGCATACCCACTCAGGAAAGGCACATTTTAGAAGGCAGGTGTCCAGTGTAGGAGGAGCGTATTTTCTCAAATGTAAAAAAATTAACAGATTCACATACACATTTAAGATCAAATAAAATTGAATTATCTTTCTCTCACTGAGCTAACTATACATTCACATATAGTTGTTAAGAAATAACATCTCCATTTCCTATCATCTCTTTTACTCTGCTCTTTACTGAGTGAAACTCCATTGTGTACATATCCTCTCATAAAATGCTTTTTTTAAAAACCAGAAAATGCATCATGCTTGAGGACCAATGTGTCAGGAGCTATGCAGCAACACTTTTTCCTGTCCATTTTCAATCAAATTCCCCATTCTACTCCTTTAAACTATTACAACTTTCTCATTTACCGTTACAGAAAAGAAAAAGGCTCAAAGGAAAAATTAATATGAAAAGTATACCCCTAAAGTGGAGAGAGAGTACTGTAATGATTAAGCGTCATCTCTCGCCCCTAAGAGCTACCAATCTATCCTCCAGTTCTAAAACGGTGTAAGCAGACCTAGTCAATTTGATTGGCTTTGGCAGCCACTGGGGAGGCTATAAAAGCACTCTATTGGAAATATCTGGGTGGGCTACTGAGGCATAAATTTGGGTACTTTATCTGGTTCCTTGCCCCTTCTTTTCTACACCACTGCCCTGATCTGCTTCTCTGCACCATGAACTAAGTATCTATGCTCTATTATGCTCTTCTATGCCATGATTTTTATGCGTTGGAGCCAATCCACCATGGACTGAATCCTTTCAAAACACGAGCAAAGTTAAACCTCTACCTCTCTGAATTGTGGGTGCCAGGTATTATAATTTTGCAACAGAATTGTTGATTAATATAGAAAACTGGTACCAGGAATGGAGAAATTCCTGTTACCATACCTGATCATATGGTTCAGAAGTGTTTGAAACTGGTCTACAGGAGTAATTTGGAAACATTTAAGAGAGGGAAGCTACATAAGGCTTAGAAAACTATAAGCAGAGATTGACAGACAGTCTGGTCAGAGATCAGAAGATCACAACAGTGATATGAATGCAGATAGACTACAAATGCTCATGAGATTTCAGTTGAGAGCAAGAATTCTTTGGGTAGTTAGACTAGAGGTCAGGTACGCTACACTCCGACAGAAAATACTTTAAAAAGTATTTTTGTTTATATTTTGCCCATCTTTCCTGAAACTGCAGGAGACTGAAAATGGTTATAGACTAATTAATCTGGCACAGAAAATTCTAAGGCAGCTCAACATTCAGACTGGAGCATACATACTGCTGGCTGTTTTCAGTCAAATTTATAATGAGAATTAAGAGGCAAAAAGCAGAATGCAAAAATTTAAAAACTTAAACTTTGCCTCAGAAGGAATTGTGTATAAAATTGAGGCCAAAGTGGTATGGCTACTGAAGAGATTAGTGCATTAAAAAGAAACAACATATCTTGTACAGGATCAAGACTAGAGACACCTTAAAGGCATCTCACAAATCAACCAGGCTCTACCCACTACAGGCTCAGAGTACAAAGGTATAAATTTTTCATGAAGAAGAAAGTCAATGGGCTCCTCTTTGAGAAGCGCCTCTTAGAAAATTTGTCTCCTAGGATTCATTTCACTGAGCTCAGCCATCACAGGCACTGACATGCTGCAGCTGTCATGGTGCAAGCGGGCCTAGCTAATGCTCAAGGCAGCAACAGATCCTGACATCACCCATGTGATACTGGTTTTACCAGCACGCAGAATGCAAGAGCTGTGGGTCAGGAAGGATTCTACCTAGATTCCAAAGGAAACCTTGGATGCCATGCAAGAAGCCCCCAAGAGGCCTGTGTGTAAAGCTATGAAAATAAAGCCACAGGTGCAGTGGAGAATTCAAGTCAGAGATGCCAGATATATGGACCTACAAGCCGCATGCTGTGAATGGATCCACCCCATGAGAGGAGTCACCTGCATTGCAACCAACAAGCTCATCAGGATGTGGCCACCAAAACCCTCTAGAACTCATACTTTACCACTATGTGCCCCAGGATGCCAGAAATGAAGACACAGAATGTAATGTTTGCCCTGCTTGGTTTTGGTCTTGCTTTGGTCTGATTCTTTTCTATTCTCCTACCCCTCTCTTTTGAAATAGGAATGTTTATGCCATATTACCTTGGAATTACATAATTTCTTTTAATTACTTATTTGTTTACAGAGGTTAAAAGATAAGAGTTTGCCTTGAGTCTCAGACAAAGACTGGATTTTTGAAAAATGCTGAAACTGTTACATAAGAGAAGGCATTATTACATTCTCTATTGTGCACAGGACAGTTGCAACACATTAGGCAGAATTACTAGCTTGTTGCTATATTTGAAGATTAAATGTGGTTTAAAATGATTTTTGGCTGTCAAGCTGATAAGGGATGAAATTTAAGCGGTTAAGCTTTGTTCTGTGATTGGCTTGGGAGCCAACACAAGTCCAGGTGTGTCTGGGTAAGTCATGGAGACAGGACCTTGGTTTCTGTATCTGGTTCCTTATTCCTTCCTCGCTGGCACTGTTTCCTGCTCTACCTTCCAGCTGCCAAGCCCTATGCATCTTTGTTCCACCATGCCCTTCTGCCATGAGGTTCCAGCCTTGGATCCAGCCCGTCATGCACGGAAACCATAAACCAAATTAAACCTCTCCCCTCCTATAAGTCATGGCTGTTAGAATTAGTGACAACAAAGTTGAGTAAAACAAGAAGTAAACTAGTCCAAACACACACTGTGTTTTACCTATTCATTTCATCCTATAATATCAGTAATTCCTTAAGGTACCCAATAGAGCTCCGTTTTTATATTAGAAAACTGAGCCTTAGCAAAGCTGTACAATTTATCTGAAGTCACTCACCTTCATAATTGGGCCAGTAGTGGAATCCAAAGTTGTCTGATTTTTTAATTTACTTATTCTGCAGTATTGGGGGTTGAACCCAGGGCCTCCTTACTGAGTTATATGCCAGTCCTTTTTTCACTTTGATACTGTTTCACTAAATTGCTAAATTTCCCAGGCCGGCTTGAATTTGCAATCCTCCTGTCTTGGATTCAAAGCTGTCTGACTTCAAAACTACATTAATTCCCACAACACCATTCTAGTACTTACCACAATACCATTTCCACAATATCAATAATGAAATCATTTCAAATAAATTACAAAACAAATCAAAGTTTTAGAAATCATTTATAAATTAGACATGGCTAATGAAAATAAACTTATACATAAATAACACAAAATAACTTAATTTTTAAGTCTTGAATCTTTGGTCATGAATAAATAAAACACCTTTGGTCATTACTGTTATAAATCTTTTCCCTAATATTACAAACAATGTAATAGAACTACAGCACTGCTTTCTTTACTGCTACTATCCCTTATCACCAAATTAAGTTAATATTTATAAGAAATGAACTGAAGACATTACCTATTTTAAATCAGGAAGTGAACTAGATCACTCTTACCTCCATGTTTCTCTTCTTTTAAACAGCCTTAAAGACAGAAAAATTTAAGAAAAGAAAAAAGGGGAAAAAACATATTATCCTTTAACAAGGACAACAGATAGGGGAGAAAAGATCATTTGTTAAACAAACTTGTACTACGCAATATATGGCCAGCCTTAGAAGTGAGTAGTCCATATTGCTGGCTCTGGTAGCACGCAACTGTCCAGTTCTTCTCCCATAAGGAGCTCACAGTTTTGAACTAAGAATAGACATTAAAGAATAATTACAGAGGGCATAGTGGTGCAGCTACTCAGGAGACTAAGGCAGGAGGACAGGACTGAAAGTTCAAGCCCAGCCTGGGCAATTTAATGAGATATTTAAAAAAAAAAAGACTGCACATAGTAGCACACACCTGTAATCCTAGAACTCAGGAGCCTGAGGTAGGAAGATTGTAAGTTCGAGGCCAGCCTGGGCTACAAAGTGAGTTCCAGGCCAGTCTTAATTATATAGCGAAACTCTGCCTCAAAAAAACAAAACAACAGAAAAGCCAGGTGCCTGCCTGTAATACCAACACTGAGGTAAAGTGAGGCTGAGTTAAGAGGACTGTGCAAGTTCATGGCCAGCCTGAACTGTAGAGTAAGATCTTGCCTCAAATTTAAAACAACAGCAACAACAACGAAAAAAGAAAGGAAGGAAGGAAGAAGAAAAGAAAGAGGGAGTGAACGTAGAGAGAGACGAAGGACAATTACAAAGAATGTGACAAATACTGGTAACAAGGAGCGTATGGGGTAAATTTTCAGAACAAAACAACAAGAATTACACGAAAGAAATAAACTGACAGCTTCTTGGGTCCTCAAGAACCCTGAACAAACTGAGCTGCACCCTCAGAAGTCTACCTGAAAGTAATTTCAGTATTTTGGATATCTCCTTAACGATAAAATAATCAAAATATATAGTTAAATTATAAACAATTTAGAATTGAATAAATATTTCAGAAACTGAAAACCAATGTAGCAGTGTTTTTGTAATAAAGTCTATATTTGGCATTTTAGCTAATAATGTTTAAGGCAATCTGACTTCAGAGCTAGCCTTGATTCTGTTTTAACATGCTTAATTGAGTAATTAAAATGTGCTGGTAAGTATATTTTAGTACTTCGGTTAGTAACTCTACAATGTGAAAAGATGCTTCTTTTTATTCGAATATTTGCCAAGTGCTACGAAGGACCACCAGGATTGTCCTTCTTAAAAGAAAGACATTTGGCTCCATTTTGGCTAAACCTGGTCCTATTTCCATGTATTAGTACATACAGTGCTAATTAAGATTTTTTTTATCCCCTCAACTGGCTTTAAGCAACGCAAATAGGTCTAGCTGAGGTGCTGATAGGTAGTCTTTAAATCAATGCCACAGGTCAGTGATGCTCAGCTTACAATTCAACTAGTATGCATGTGCCATGCGGAGTGACTTTGCTGCACTGTTAGCTGGGATTGAGCCTCCAGGCATGAAGATTACACATCAGAGTTGACACATCAACCTCCAAACATGAGATGCTTACTCAATCTATGATATGCAGATTAATCTTTCTGCATCTGCTCTCTGCCTTTGTTCCAGTTAGACATTATTCTAACTGGACTTAGGGTCCCTTGGCCCTCCATCATTTTACAAATGTATTTGTGTTTTTATTCATGCGTTGGGTTGTACTGGAAGTGACAGATTGAAATTAATTCACTAAAATTCCAATAACTTTCCCCTGGGAAAACAAATATAAACTTTACTGAACCACAGTGAGGTCTAGGAAGAGCTTCTTATAAAGTGCCAGGAACTCAGTTACTTATGAAGTTACTAGAACCTGACCAACTCACATTTTTAAACTACAGACAGGTATTTCTATAAATAATTACAATTCTTAGGACAAGTCCTCTAACAGTATAAGGCACAGCCACAGCACAAATACCAACAAAATAAAAGAAAGGAGTCTACCGAATCAACAACAGAAAGCAGTTTTTAAAACAATTGACATTTGAAACCCAGACTCCTTTCTGTGACATTCTTACCTGGGCACTGCCACAGAATCCTCAGTTGTCATGAGTCCTAGTTGACCATCACTCCCTGCACCCCAAGAAAACAGCTGGCCCTGGTCACTAAGGGCCAGACTGTGGGACTCGCCACATGCCACATGAATAATGTGCTGATCTGCCAAAGCTCCTATTTGTTCTGAAAGATACAAACCAAACGAAGAAAATGTACAGCCTGGAAAAAGATGTGTTGCCACCCTTACACAGAAATATCTTACAAGGCAGTTTTGTTCTTAAAAACAACAACAACAAAAACCACTTACTCTGTACATTTAGCAATTAATTACACATTTGATAAAAATATTTTTAAACATTATCAATTTAGATTCGAGTTATATTAAGTAGCATACATCATATAAATAGTAACACACATATTCCCTGAGAGCATACAGCCATGTGCCAGTGCTTTTCTATCCAGTAGGAAGTCTGCAGGTTTATTATTTGGAGATACTCAACCAGAGGCCCAAATGTGAGTAAGAATGGGGCATGCTTCTATAAATACTGGAACCGATAGACATTTTACCTAGAACAATGTGACTGCTTCCTGGTCCCACAAATATTCAAAGCTCCAACTAGTCTTCCCTGCTCATTTCAGAATGCATTTTCTAATGTTAACCAACTAGTCTAGCTGAACTGTATCCACAGGCCCACATGTCCAGGAAAGGAAGAGTTTTCTCTGGGAAAATTAGCCTTAAAATGAAAACCACAGCTAAAGTACATCTCTGCCCCTGGAAGCTAGAAGCCATAGCAAATCTACATCCTTGCATTTCCATCCTTTTTCACACGTCACCATATTCACATGGGTGGCTATAGCACCAAGAACCTAGCTTAGAGACTGAGGCCCAAACTGCAACTTTAAAATCAGTTTCTTTATCACAGAGTCCCTACAATGCAATTCAACCTGAATACTGAGGTTTTAGTTTAGTTATATCAACTAACAAACATGGCTCACGTGCCTACAGAGAGGGCTCTGTGTGCCTACTGCAGCACACATGCTACAGGTGCACCACCACTGGCCTAGGCCATTATTGTATCCACAGACATCACAGACAAGGATTACACCAAAGAAACTACAAAAAACATTACCATGTCCACTTAAAATTAAAAACATCTTACTCAACTAATATCCTACCAGCCATTCATAGGAAAAAGCATCTGCTTACCAGGAAAGAAAAAAAGAACTCCATAAATTTATAAGATGACTGTTCAATAAATGCACAGATATTGAAGCAGACAAGAAACATGAAAAGGCAAAAAAAGATGATATCACCAAGAAAATAGTAGTTCTTCAGTGTCAGGCAAAATCTAAGGAAATTTACAATATCTAAAACAACTCAAGGTAATGACCTTAAGGAAGCTCAGAGAAATAAAAAAATACACATAAACAATGAAATCTGGGGAAAAAAATTGGGGACCTGAAGGACAATGTCAACAAGTAGACAAATATAAAATAAAACTAAACAGAATAGAGTTGAATAATTCAGTAAATGAAATCAAACAATAAGTTATGAGAGCCATAAAACAGATGAGATCAAGAAGAATTTCTGAACTTCAAACTAAATCATTTAAATTAACTTGGGAGGAGGATGACAGAATTTCAGCACAGCTAAAAAGATAGAAATATGAAATAAAAGTGGCCTTTACTTTAAGAATGTGGAAGAGAACCCCATGACCACTGAGGTCTGGCTCTTCTCTCTGCCGGACACGTGGTGTGGGGGGCATACAGCTTTGGTTTGGGGTGGTTTCTAAGGGGCATTACTGATGCACAAGTAGCCCACTGGAATTCATTTCGTTCCACAGGTAAATTGCCTAGGGGTGGGGAAGATGACCTCCAGATAGAGCCCCTTGGTTCTCCCAGCCTCCCACTGCTGCAGCGTCCCATCCAGGGCAAAATCTTTTCATTCCTGTCTTTTTATTATTAGGAAAAGGGCAAAGTTTTTTCATTTTTTTAGTATTCCCTGCTGAAAGGGGAACTGTATTGGGATTTGGAAGGGTCAATGGGATGACAGTTGATGCCCATGTAGAAGCTGGTGCCAGGTTTTATCACTTGGGAATGCCCATGCGTTAGACTGAGACCTCTAGTGGGCCTTGGAGCTCTGAGAAGAACACCTTAATGGGGGCTGTGGGCCCTGAGCCCCGTCAGTCTTCAGCAGCAAGTCTGAACAGATCTGTCAGCAATGAATCTGGCAGTGATGGCATTTCCTATGAGGGCTAGAAGTTAAGAAGAAGGCTTACCCACTCTCTGGTGGCTAGGACAGTTGCTCTTTTAGTGGCCCTGGGGCAAGGCCCCAAAGGAACTCAAGGATTGGGATATTTTCTTTTTGCTGCATTTGAAACATGGTCCAGGAGGGGCTCAGGCAGCTCACCTTGTGTTGGTTTACCAGTCTCAGAGCTCTAAGTGTCACTGCTAAAAGATCAGATTGTTTTTTATCTCTGTTGTTGGAAACATGAGAAGCCATATTAAGAAGCCACATTAAAAAGGTCTCCCTGTGGGGTTTGAGGGCCAAGTTTAGCCTTTTGTCTTGGGATTTTGGGAAGGTATCTGTAGAATCAATTAAGTATGCAGGAGTCAAATAATATAATCAACAGGGTATTTATGATCATAACTTTAGTAATGGCTTCCCATAAGAAGGATAAAATCCATGGAATTTTAGGAACTGACATGTCATTTATTTGTCATATATAACTATCTCTTTATGTTGGTAGAATGTCTAATGCCATCTGATTTTTGGAGGATGGCCTGTTTTATTAATTTTACCATTTTATTTAGGAAAGAGATTAGCTATGGTGTCATTTAACGCCAGTTGAGTATAGTTAATTATGGCTCGGCAAAGGGCTGAGCCTGGGCCTGCGGACAGGCCGGGAAAGGCTCAAACTTGGCCTCTGACTCAGTGCTGGTCTTGTTGTTCTGCATGTATCACATAACCTTTTTTCTGGAAAAGATCTGGTGGATCCCAGCAAAAGGAATTTATAATTATCTCTTAATTTCAGTTCCAGAATATTGATAACAGTACAGTGCAGTATAGGCAGTAAGCTTAAAATAGAATATTAAATGGCTATTAACTATGGGTGTTTTAACATTTGAGCGCTTAAGAAATTTGTGAAGCATCTCTAAGCATATGTCTGGATCTGAAAGGAAGCACTTGTCGTCATACATTACATAAATTTTTGTTTAAAATTATTATTTGACTGGTGACCTCCTGTTGGTTTGATCTGAATCTCTTAGCTGCAACACAAGAAAAAGGCAGCAGAAACAATCCCAATTTTATATTTGAAGGCATGACTATACCATCAGATCAGCAACAATGAATTCTCTTAGTTATATGAACTTTAGTTGAGGTGTCTTTCATAAGGCTATGGAGATTACTGGAGCCTCCAATTAATAAACAAGAGCTGGTAAAATTACCAGTGGCCACTTTTTCTGTTTATCAATTGAAGTCTTGCTCAATGTCTCCACACCAAGAGATTTTGTTTAACCAATTTTAACCCAAATAAACCTTGATTAAATGGTTCGAAAATGTAAAAAAGGGAAAAAAATTGTTGAGCTCAAATAAAAGGAACAGCTGTTTACAGAGCAGACAACTGGACAAACATGGACAGATGATCTGTACATTATAAATGGACTGAACAAACAACAGATATATAGACTGACAATCATCTTATAAAATTAGAGTACACTCAAATATATTTGGCCAATTTGAACTATAATAAGACTGATGTGAATCTTTTTGTAGACTAATTTAATAGAGATTTCTTGAAATAAGAATACCAGAAAAGAAATCTGATTAGCTCACAGAGTTAAGAAGGAATGGCTAGGCACCCCCACCTCGCCAGGCAGCCATTGGCCCCTTGGAGGGCTGGCACGTGGCAGGGGGAGGGACTGAGAAATGGGAGAAGAAGGGAGAGTGACACAGGTGAGGAGCTGTAAAGGAGCTGTATCCTAAGTGTGGGGAGGGGGAGGAGGGGTCCTGGAGGAACAGAGGGAAAGAGGGACACATCCTTAAAACAAAGACCTAAAGATGGAGAGTTTTTGCCAACTTGCTGCCATTGTGATAAAAGCAAAATAAAAGATCAGCTTTTTGGTTTTTGGTAGCCTTTTGAATCAGGCACCCCAGAGGTGTGTTCAATTAAGGTAAAATGAGCCAACCTGGACCATGGCCAGTGTAAGAGGTTATCACCTAATATTTTGGATGCATGGTTAATCGGTTGCAACTTGTGCTTTTCAATCATCACCAAAAGGCACAAGTGGAGTCCCAGTGGATTATAGTAATGGCTCTGCCTCAAGGCTGCCCAAGGGACATGAGAACTGCAACCCCAGTCCTGGGACAGAAGGAAAATCTAGTGTGGGGCCCAGCCTACCACGGAGTAAACCTGGACAGAATTAGCTCACCTGCAGTAAATGAATTAGACTGGTGTTGTTTGCAAACCAGCAGCGACAAGTTGAGCAGCTCCCACACGCTGAGAAATGAGGAATTAATCTAGGACGTGGTCCAGTCCATGAATTGGCAGGGGACTCAAACTGGGAAGACCCCAGGAGTCACTCACCTGCTGTTCCCAGTCAGGGAACCAACTGATAGAATTTTAGGTGAGGCTAAAAAGACAGAAATATGAAATAAAAGTGGCCTTTATTTTAAGAACGTGGAGAGAGAACCCCACGACCATTGAGGTCTGGCTTTTCTCTCTGCTGGACACGTGATGTTGGGGGCATACATATATCTTAGGTTTGGCATAGTACCTAAGGGGCATTACTGATGTACAAGTAGCACATTGGAACTCATTTCACGCCACAGATAAATTGCCTAGGGGCGGGGAAGATGACCTCAAAATAGATCTCCTTGGTTCCGGCTCCCAGCCTCCCACTGCTGCAGCATCCCATCCAGGGCAAAATTGTTTCAGAGGAGAGTTCAAAAGAGTAAAAAGCCTCTGGGGTACCTTTAAGCAAATATTATTTGCATTAAGGAAATTTAAGAGGCAATAAGAAAACATGGATAAAGGCAAGGAATGTAATATTCAGTAAATAAAAAGCTGACTAGTTCCCCAGACTGGAGAGATATCTCCAGAATTCCAATGGACTCCACTCAAAAAGTGATCAGTGGATGATAATCATGCTGTCAAATCAAAAGAAAAAAGAGAATTCTG